ATGTCTTGAGCGTCTGCTGTTTATGCAAACTCACTTCCATAGTGCACCAAAATCCCGGAAAAGGGACTCATAGGACGTTTGGACGTGCGATTTTTCGAGGTTTTTCGCGGTTTTCATGGAAACTGTCAAATAGATTTTGACGTTGATTTTTTTTAAGAGGCGTCTCGTGGGTCCGCACCTTCGATGCAAGTTTCGTTAAAATCCGTCTATCCGTTCTTAAGATATGCTTTTTTTGTGATTTTGGAAACCCTATTTTAAATTTCCACGGACATCTAGTATATTGGACCCCCAGTGGCCCTGTCACCCACCCCTGGGAAGGTCGCAAAGGCGACCTGACCCAAATAATGGATTCAGGGTACTTTAAAACCCCCGAGTGGAACATTTACCCCGCTTGGGACTGCAGTTTTATGAAGTATGCGCCTTTTGTTGAAAAAAAAAAATTCCCCCCAATTGGGGTGAATTTGGGGGGAGGGGGCCCGAGCGGCATCTAGATTTTAGTGAATTTTGAATCTCATGTCTCAATGAACATTTTGCAAAAAAAATTAGCCCGATTGGACCTTTCCGACCAAAGTTCGAAGTGAAAACCTACTTTGACGCGACTATTAAACGATATATCCGTCAACGTTACTTATTTTTAAAATAATTACATACATTTTTTAACAATATAGTGAGTGCATCTTATATATTGTGTTAGATATGCCTCTAGATATGATGAAATACTATAATTATTATAATCAGTAATATACCGGGTATTCAAATTAAAGTGTTACAGCTAAATACCGTCTATTATAAAAAAACGTTGCAGACGAAAGTATTATAGTTTTGTGTGGAAAAAATTTGGCTAAAATCGTTTTTTATAGCCAACCATAATATGGCCAACTTTTCTTTCGTCCAGCAAAATTTTCAAGTAGCTGTTACTCAAAAAGTAAAAGTCGGATAAAAAAAATATTTCCATCAAAAGTTTCTTATTTTTTTATGTACTTTAAGAATATGTAAAAAAAAAATCGGGTTCCCATTTAAAAAAACAAAGTACACCTCGATATGGCCATATTATGGTCAGCTATGAAAAAATGAATTTAGCCAAAATGTTTCCCCCAAAAAACTATAAAACTTTTGTCTGAAAGTTTTTTCCTAAAATGCATATTTTTGGCGGTATTTAACTGTAACACTTTAATTTGAACACCCGGTATATTTTTTAAATTTTTATTCCTAAGATGGTTTAGACTCATTAATTTTGTCCTTTGGACATAGTAATAAACTCCAATAACAAGTACCAACGTCCTAGGGACGAGGTCATGTGTTATGAAATCAACTACATAACGTGACAATTTGTAATTTAATTTTTCTAATAAAAGTTTTGGCAAATTTAACACTAACGTTCAGTTTCATTTTCAAGGTTAAAATTTTATTCTGTCAAGTGACTAAAGTACCAATCCAACATATAAATTTAAAATATTCTGTAATAATGTAATTATAGAATTAAAAAATGTAATTTAACTTAATTCTTGTAGAATGAATTATCGCAACAATAATAATAATATTTCTGCACTTATTATCACTTCTCATTACTCATTAACAAGTTTAATTATTTAGAAAAATACCTACTCAATTATAAGAAACGTAATTTTTATTTATCATTCTAGAAAACCTTGAATTACCTACTACTGAAATAATATTTAGCTAATTTCATTGCACAAATATGCAAAGTTAGATCCATTGGGTTGTCCATATCTGAGTCCACGCGATTTTTCTTTTCCTCGAAATTATGGAAAAATGCGAGGGTTAAAATTTACCCACTGAAATGAGTAACACAAGGTGTCACTGTCAATGGAATTCCCATTTGTATTTCCATAGTTGTGTTAGTTAAATTACGAAAAGAGATAATAAAATAAAGCCTAGTTTCTTAGATTGATTATTATAATCCATATTATATGTTTGGCAGTAAATTTTCCAACAACTATTTTTAAATTAGCGTGAATCACGATATTTTATTAAAAATAAAATGAAATTTGGGCTATTCGATTTCCTTGAACCGTTTAGCATTGGTACGTTTAATTGTTATTGATCCGTGCCAATAATTATACCATATTAATGTAGTTAAGTGTCGTTGTAATCTTTAAACAATTACTTGTTTCATTATAAATATTTTGTTTTATAGACCGTATCCAAAGTACCAGAATCATCTGTTTGTATCGCAATTTAATTAGTTATACAAGTGATTATTTTATTACCTGTAATTTTTTATCACGGTTTAATGTATGCAAGCGTAATCAACTTAGTGAATGTCTCAACAAACCGCAAAGGGATATAGGGTTTCGTGTGTTAGCGTCTCCATATTACTTTACTTATCTATGTTTATAATAATAATTAATTATTAGAAGACTGCGTATTAAATTAATGATAGGACGATAACTCAACCCTAATTCCCTCTAGACCATCTGTACTCAACCTTTTTTTCTTTCGGGTCACATAAATCTGTTTGTTATGTTACACGGGCCACAATATTTTTGGGTGATAACTAGAGTTGCCACCTTTTTGAAATGTAAATAAAGGACGATGGGTGACGATAGGGATCCTCAAATTTATTAAACAAAAATATTTAATTAAATACTCATTAATATAACTAAGTGCTAATAAGAACTAATTGAAAAATATTCTAAATAGTATGTAACATTTGTTGCTTCATTCTACGTAAAGTTCTGTGATTATCATTATCATAATTTTGCAATTTCAAAATTAATTAAAATGTCTTTCTTATTCAGAGGTGGTGCAAGAGGGGGTAATATTTTCATACTATAAATTGTTAAATTAAGAATAGAAATAGACCTGTTTCAGATGTTTTCCCAAAAATACATAATAACGTTAAGAATTAATTTATTCCATACATATGGACCGCACAGTACATTTTAACGCCGTAAATATTGCGCCTTTGAACAACTTTTAAATAAATAATACATTAAAATTATAAAATATTAATTAAGCTATACGATAATATCTCAAGAATCGTGATGTCAATATTTTTTGTACTTTTTTGTGCCAAAATGTAAAAAAACCATATCGCCATAGAAATCGCAAAAATTGCTGTTTTTCTGTCATTATGTGATGGCGATAATAATAATTGTATTTTATTTAAATTACTCATTTGCGCCTAATTTACCTAGTTAACATAAAATTCTAGACAAGTAGTTTCGCAAGGTTAAGCGGAATAATACGCTGGCAATTTACACATTTTTTTATGGAAAACACTGTTTATATATTTTTATGCCTAGTTGTTTACTTTGTATACTTTTCAATAAAAGCAACTTGGAGTACCCCTATTTTTATTCGGGATTTCCGTAGAACATGAAATTTTAGAATCAGTTTGTATGATAGTGTAAAGTAAGAAAGTTGACATCTACTTCCGCTATAAGCGAAAACGATAGAACTGTCAATATATTTTAGATGGAAAGATTTTTATGAATTTTTAACAAAATCCGTTTAGTTTGTCAGATACAGATAGTGTTCTCCCGTCGCTGGACGAGGAAATCATTTTTTAATAGTTTTATTTGAATATTTTTAACATTTTTTATTTGTGTTGCCACCTACCTACCGCAATTTTTCGAGTCGTTTATTTAGTGGTCAAAGTTCTGTAATTGAACCTGACCTCTGAATCATGCTATCAACATTCTGTTATCGTATGATACATGTTGCTAACAATTTCTTATTCATGCAGAAACCGGCAATAAAAAGTCACAAAAGTGACAAATATTGGATTGTTTTTTTATTAAATAGGCGCATATTGCATTTCATTTTAAAAGAATTTAAAAAATAATGTTTTATGGGCACTTTTATGTTCACTTCTTGATATATTTGTTAAAGACAACGTCACCAAGGTCCTAATGATACAACTGTTTTTTATTAATAATATACCTTATTTGAAAGGTATTTCAAACGCATGAAACATAGACCAAAGAAAACTATTACCCTACAAAAACATTCGCACTAGATATTCCCGAGCTCAAAGTATAGTAGGGGGTAAAGATATTCTTTCTTTTTCGGCAAAACAAAGGGAATCGTATAAAAACACGTTTAACAGCAACCCAGGGACGGACCTAATTAGTTGTATGCTACGCTTCAAAGAGTAAATGTTATACGTATTTAAATATTATTACATTTTTCGCATAATTTCCTTCTTCGATTATTTAATAAATATCACTAAATTTTGTTTAAAAGGCAACACTTACAAAATTGATCCGAAATAAATATTCACGACTTGTAATAAAAATTGCCATGAAACTATATTCCATTTATTTGAAGTATTTAATTAATACATTGAATATTAAAAACACCGGCGCACACACACAAAAAAAAAGTTGTCAGTTCTTTTGACGGGACCGGTATATATTTATGTATTTCGACCCGCTGAATCCGAATCTGAGGCCCCTTTGACCCGTACACCGTCAAATTTTCGAGAAAACTTTGAAAAACAGAAAAAATGACGAAAATCGGCAGTTTTTCAAAGCTTAAATTGAGTTGCTGCGTTCTGCACACCAGAACAAAACTATAAATTTAAACATATAAATACTTGACCTTTGCGAACCGTATTCAACGTTTTTCTGTCTATTAGTCTCTATTTCACACTATTAACTCTAATGTTCGAGGGCGGTCCAGCAAGAATGAAGATTTCGAGTGTTTCAGTAACTTTGCGGCTTACATATATCTTTCTAAAACACTGAAAAGTTCTTTACTTACATCTGTACTGAGATCTATATTATATTCTGTCATTTTTTTTCTATTTGTTTTCTCTATAGATATATAATTTTTTTTCTGAATTTACGTTCTGTAATTTCTTGAAAATATAAAATGTGTACCTTTATTTAGTTACATATTTTTCTTTTGTATCTTGTTCTGCAACTATGTATACTGTTGGACAATAAAGCTTTTTTTATTTTATTGTGAACACCCAATATTTTGGTCACTGATTTTTAATAATATTAATTTTATATTCTTTTATGTTCCAGGTGGGCCAAATTACGGGTGGCAATGTTGCCAATTGTAATATTTATTGAACCACTCTCCGAATGTATGGTAATAGGAGCATGCGCAGCTTGGGCAGCGAGTTTACTGTTCCGGTGGGAACCCCTAGTTTTTTATTTAATTCATATACTTGTATGGTTCTTGTGTGACTGGATGTTATTGTCTATAGTACAAGTAAGTAATTAATCAATTCATTTATACGTATGATAACAAATTATTATTTTTTTAATTTTCCGTCTCTATCCGAAAGAGAAATTTTGAAAATGTATTTATTTTAAATTTTTCATACATTTCCGAGATTTTTTTTGATTTTTCCCTCTTCTAGCCGGATAAATCTCATTTTTTAAGTAGTTTTCCCCGGATATTCGTTTGACCCAAATTATCCCATACTTTTCCTGGAAAATGCGCTTTCGGCATCGAAAAAATTTCGATGCCAGATTGTCAAAAATGTCTAGTAGTATACGCTTATTTTTAGTTTGTCCGAAAAATTCTTCAAATAAGTCAGAAAATTCGGAAAACCAATTTTTTTTTCTATTTTCACCAACCGAAAGGAAATTTACTGAATCTCATGAATCCGCTGTCGAAAAAAAAGTCGATTTTGTCGGAAAATTGACGGAAAACCATTTTACGAAGAAAAATTTGTTGATAACAATATATGACAAATAGTTTTTGCGATGGAATTCATCCATATACATACATAACTTCCTCCATGTAATTTAAAATATATTTCATCATTTGTATAACTGAAAATTGTGAATTTATGTGAATCGCAAATCGAAATCCGAAAAGAAATATTCAAAATAAGTGGCTGAATAATTTGAAAATTCGGAAACATCTCAAAAATCCCCCTACGAATTATTAAGATTATCCCTAAACTCCAAAGGTGAAAACAAATACTTAGAAAATTGAAAAAGCATGTCGCAGCTGGGAATCAAACCCGAACATTGTATGCTAGACAAGTGCCTTTCCTTCTAGACCATCACGTCATTGACTGTCGAGAGTCCTAGGAAGAAATTTGATGTGCTAGTTCGGGTCAGACAGCGGTCAAGCTTCTCAAAGCTTCAAATACCTCTATGCAACATTCGTATATATGAGAAATGCATTTATGCATACTAAGCCCGTATTTTCGTCTGCGTGAGTTTTCAATCTACGTTAAGAGACCTAAACCTGAGTGTAAAAATTGTTAATTTATGCGAATCGTAAATTTGTTTAAATTGCCATTATCTTTCATTTATTTACTAAGGTCAACAGTTGTAACTATTTAATTCATTGTGGTCAAATATTAGATAATAATTTAAATTTAGATCGATTTCATATAAGTATTGCGATTTTTAAACAAAATCTAATAACGGTATTTTTCATTATTGGTTATTTATTTTCGGACATAATACCGTTATCCTATTTTGATTAATATAGCATTAGTGTTTACGGTCCCATGAACTTAATTTTTTCTTTAATTTGCGGATGACCTACTTTTAACAATTCTACTATTTTAATGAACAATTATTGAGTCATTTTTTATTGTCGGCTTAAATATATAACCGAATACCGAAGTATCGACGTGTTTTCACTTAATTTTTTATTGCGAACAACGATTTCGATTTTTAAAGGAAACACTAATTAGCAAAATAATTTTTACACAAATAGATGATACTGAATGAAACATTATTTCATAATGTAAACAGATGATTTAACATAAATAGTAACAGCGAGGATAAGTTTAAATATTTTTCTTTAAAAATATTGGTATATTGTAAATCATTTCCATTTGAAGTTCTGGGACAAGGGTTTCTATGTTTTTGAAAAATGGGGCAATGTGGCATGTTCAAAAATTTTGAATTTTTTTTATGAATAATACAGTTCAAAATAAAGCTACATTAAAATTTTTTTTTTATCTATTTATTTGCCTGAGTAATTAATTTTTTAAAATTTATGACGTAGCCGGGAATAGACCAATAGGAACTAGCTACACAACGTTGCCAGTTAGACGGTATACGAGAAGTAATATTCGTTCGTTTGTGTGTACCGTCTTACTTTCAGACTTCTAAAATATCTTTTAAATATAAAGTACACCGTTTATGCAGAGTAAATTTCTTATTTTTGAAAATAATGCGGTATATCCTGCGAATGAAATGAAGAGAAATGTTTTTTAAGAAAGAAATATTGGCCTGTGACTCATACTTTGTATATTTTTTGCGATATGGTTCTCGCGAGGCGCGTCTCGACTTATCTGAGTATTGATTGCTGTTCAGTAACTAGAATTAAGATATATAATACTTGGTATTCTATATGATACTCTTCACAGTTTAACAAACCCCCTTTTAACCCCCTCTTTTAATCAGATTTTTTCAGAATCAATAGGTTTCATTCCCCCTATAAAAGCTTTATTTTTCCGGAAGAATTCAAGTTGATATTTTAATCCCCCCTAAAGCCCTCCATTCTTAATAAGATTTTTCAAAATCAATAAGATTTATCCCCTTATAGAGCTTGATTTTTAATAAAAATGTCATGTTAATATCGCTTTTCTTTGTTGATTTATGATTTTTTTTTTAATTTCAACCCCCATAACCCCCTTATGTTTGATCACATTTTTTTTTTTAAATCAATAAGCTCCCATTGTAAAGCTTGAATTTTCATGAAAATTTCAAGGTGATATAGTTTTTAGTTTTTGTTTAATAATTTTTTTAAAGTTTTAACCTCCTTAGCGCCTTCATTTTAAATACGATTTATTTTTTTATCAATAGGCTTCGTCCCATTGCAGAGCTTGATTTTTCCTGAAAATTTCAAGTTGATATTGTTTTTCGTTTTTAATTTGTTTTTTTTTTTTTTTAATTTTAATCCCCCATGTTTAATCAAATTTTTTTTAAAATGAATAGGCCATTCTATTGTAGAGCTTGATTTTCCTGAAAATTTCAAGTTGATATTTTGTTTCCTTTTTGTTTTATGATTTTTTTAAAGTTTCAATCCCCCCTTAACCCTTCCATTTTTAATTAGATTTTTTCAAAATCAATAGGCTTCGTACCCGGAAAATTTTAAGTTCATATCATTTTTCGTTTTTGACTTATCGTGCGGACAAACAATGTGGGATGGGAGGGACAGACGGATGGACGGACATTTTTAAAAGTTATATAAAATTTGATGAGAAGGATTTTGATACAAAAAATTTAAATTTGGGTGAATATTAAAAATTTTGGTTTCTTAAAAGTAAACCTATAATAAATAAACCATTCAAGAGTATAATAATAGAAGCAAGTAATGTTTTAAGTGGTACCTATAGAATAAATTTTGCATATGTCTTTGGTGTTAAGTGTATGTATTTAACATATGCAATGTGTTATTTGCAAAAAATAAAACAATTAAAAAAAATGAGGAAGCCTAGACGACAGGAGCTTTTTACAATTATTTCAGCTGCAGCAAAAAGGTTAGACTTTTCTAGTAAAAATATTTTATCCAAAAGAGATGATAAATTATCGAAGAGAACCAAGATAATATAACAAAATGTATCCAGAGGGAGTTGCAATAGTCCGCGGAATATTTTTATGTGTAAAAGTAATTAAGAAACTCCCTCCCTCTTTATCTAGAAACCGTCGACAAACAATTAGTGCTGTCGACATACGAACTATGTGTTTGTAATAACAGTGGAAGAAAGAAGGGAACATATCTCATAGCTATTCAAACAGGTAACTAAATTTTGTTAATATGAATCAATAGAGGTTATAAAGTTTTCAGAAAATTTAAAGGAAACCCCAGAAGAAGTAAATGAAATAGAAGAATTACCTAGAGACCAACTTGGTACATCAAAAGAAGAAAGTGGCTTACAGCGTCACTCTTTTATTCGGCAACTTATGACTACGGCAAAAATAAATAAAGAAAATTCTAGGAAGCAATTATAAAAAATAACTAGAAACACTATAGAACCTTGTAGTCTTTTTTGGTAGCAACCCCAGATGGTATTATCAAAGATAAAGGACAAGTTGAAATAAAATTTCCTTATTCTGCAAGGTAAATGACCCCAGAACAAGGAATTCAAACCAAAAATATTACAAAACAACGAAATTAATAAAATCCACAAATGGTCCTATCAAGTTCAAGGACAAGTACACACAATACGCTACACAGTTTAAAAACGGAAACAATCGTAAGAGATACATAATTTTAGTTAAATAAGACGGAGCCTTTTGTATGATATTTTTACTTCGATTGTATGATTCCTGAAATAATCGATTTACGAAAGGCTAGAAACATGCTAATAAAATATCTTAAAAGTTATCAATAATAAAAAGAAAACAGAAAAAGATAAATAATATATCCTTAGCGCTTACTTTAAGTTTTAAGTGTTTACTTATTTTAGAAAACTTTTTACTATAATGCAATTTAATTTGTGATAGTGTTGCTTTATTAATTTACCACTTATCTTGTTTATTTCTGACTTCGTTTTTTTGTATTTTTTTAAATAAATAAAGAATTTCAAAAATTATGTAGGTATATTGTTTTAAATTAGGTCACACCATTCGCAGTGTATACCATTCACATTTATTTCATCCATAAAACATCCTATACCAACCTAATAAATAAAAAAAATGTGCAATTTCTGCCTATATTAATTAAATAATAATTTTCTTCTTGTATTTTTTTGTCATTTTTAAAAACCTTGGTATATAATGTAACGTTTTAAAGTGAGAAATGAAACAAATGTATGGGCCTATAAATCACTAAGTACTGTTAGTATTAAAAGTAGTAGTTAAAACGTAATCTTTGAATACCTCGGCCTAAAATACCGAGGAATGTATTCCTATAGCATAGCTATGGTTAATATCAGGGTTTTTAGAGAATACTCCCGCCCCAGTGCCTTCCGAAGTCTTAGATCCGTCTGTATACCAGGTTTGTTCCTGTCGTTGGGCATTGGGCTCCCTTATGGTGATCTCCGCTCTTTCCTGTATTAAAACTTCAAATGGAGTGTCTGCCATATAGACTACATTTTTATTCTCGTCAAAATTCTGACACCCTATTATAGGTACATATGCTTGTGCTCTTTCTTATATCCTGTATATTACCTACCTACAATATAAATTTGTATAAACAAGATATATGATTAGAAAAATATTTCATATTTAAAATACTCAAGGGATGAATCTAAGTTTATCTTAAACCAATTTTTTATTTTTTTTCTATGAAGCACAAAATTAGGTCGTCAAAATTTTTCGACATTTTAGGCACTCTGCCAAAACAACGCCTGCAAAAAATTACAAATTTTATTCTAAGATAAACCTTTATAATTGTTTTTTAGACATCCTAAAAATATATTTTTTTAGTATTAAAAAATGAGGCTGTAATCTGTTATGAGCCCACTCCCTACATTTGTGTCAAAACTCGAGCGTTAGATTCCCCTCTCAAATACTGAAAAGAAATCGAATGATACCGAACACTAGCCGCCTAACAAACATTTGCTTAAATTGCCACTTCGTGAATTTGATGCTAATTTCAGTATTAAATTCACTAAACTTAGTATTTACTTACGTCACATTTACTACTTTAATAAGCTAAAAAAAGTAAATGTTTAGTACGCAATCTTTAATAACCAAACCAAATTTATTCATTCAATAATCAAATGAAATTTCGTTAATTTAAATGGTATATGATGACGCACATTAGATTTTATATTGAATCCAGTATTATATCTATTTCAAATTAAAACTTTGTTGACATTCAATAATGACTTCGAACTTTCTGTAAACTACCTCTAAATAAAACAGTAAAACTATGATTAAGTAGAAATAATATAATAGGTAATTTAATTGTCTTTCACACGAAATATAATAAAATTAGAAATAAATCTAAGAGTACAAATAGCCGACGTTGTAGACCGTTTCAAGCGATGCGATAGTCTTCATGAATCTTTCCTCAACAATTCGTTGTTCCTCTTGTGTCCTAATCTTGTTAATATAAACAAAGACACCCTTGAAAGTTTCATTCCGAATATTCAACATTCTTGGGAATTCGTGTCGATTACATTTCGAAATATGACTTGAGTTTTTTTATTTATAACCAATTATATTTTTAAATATATATTTTTTTGTTATTTCAGAATGGGTCTCTTCCCTTCAAGAGGTTCGACTTCATTATCGGATGGCTGTTTCGTGAATTATCTGGACCTTACCTGTTTCTTATAGCTCTTTGTCATCCAGAAATTAAATGGCGTAATCGTGTCTTTAAGTTGACCTGGGGCGGCATAGCCCAGGAGGTGAAGCCCAGAATCAAATGTTAAAATAAATGTATGTTTTTATGTAAAGGTTGCCACTTTAACCCTCTTATCTCAATCTTCAACATTAGTAAGTTAAGCGCCCTGATATTATCATTTTAAGTTTACTATAAACTTTAAGATATGAATGTAAAGACTTGACTTTTGCCCAGCACAACTACTTTATACGCCAAGCACTGAACATTAATTTATTTATTAGACTGAACGAAAATATACCCAGTGAGCTAAGGGTGACTATGCACCAATAGTTAAGTTAAAGAATGTCTTGGATTTTGATTTTATCTCGTTTTTAACCCTTTCGCTGTATGTTGCTTGTACAAAACATCTCGTCAGTACGTAAAAAATGGCAGAGAAATTTTTGTAAAGGACAATGGCCCCAATTATATCAAATTAATACAATCGTCGGTTGAGAAGAAAAATATCCTATTTCCATTATAAGTTATTGCCATACTATCCCTAAGTTCTATTTAATTCTAGCTTGTGCAGTACTATCCAGTGTCCTAAGATGCCGTATGGGGAACAAAAATTGTCTAGAATTGTCTTTGTTATAGGGAAATTAAACTTTTAAAACTAATAGAAAGGGACATTTTGTAGTAGAGTATAATGCACTTTTTTGAAAATACTTTTTATATTTTTTATTACACCTGCGTAAATCGAATCTTGTACCGGGTGATCTAATAAGGCAGGACGCCGGGTGTTTTTCATAGAATCTAGAGTCCAGGAGTGCTGTTTCGTTTTCCTTTGATGAGTCGTAGCCATATTGTTTCTGAAATTAGTAAAATAGAATATAACATTTTAAAATACTGGCCATAACGGGGTACTAGGTTAATCCCCACTGGTAGTGGTTGAATTAAAATTTAAAAATAATGTTACTTTTGTTTGTATGGGCTCCTGTTTCTGTATAAATAAAACCAGAGAATCGTTTATATAAAGAAGCACCTGTAAACACTACCACATGTACTACCACTCTACTTCAAATCAATAATGTGAGCAACTATAACATTCTATTGCCCCTCCTGTCGGCAAACCTAGCAATTTCAAGATAATTTCTAGATATTTTTAGAGATTACTTTCGTTAAACTAAAAAATCTATAGAATAAATGGTTCTTTAGATATGGCGGGCGTCCTTTCTTATTTTGGATACCCGGTACAAGACTTTGGAATTTTCACAATTTTTGATATCAAAATACACAAAAAAAAATTAGGGGTATGTGGGCTACCTGTTGTTGTTCCAACTTCAAATAAAAATAAATTGTGCAGAAGGTAGATATGTAAGGAAAGAGGGGGTACAGTGTTACACAAAAAATGTATCAATTATTATTGTTTCAAGCAGATATAGTAGAAAAATTCTCTTTTAAGCAAGAGGTTGGTATGAATGTTGACAATCATCGGAAGATTATCGCGGATCCAGTTCTGAAGATATAATTAGAGTGATACATTTTTTATTCAGGATGCACACGTGATCCAGTAGTGGGTAAAATTCGAACACTTATTGTGTTGGAGGGAAACTTCCTAAGCACTTAATTGACGCATTCTGCTAAAATATCCGACCTTAGAATGCCTCCTATTCCTTTTTTATATCGATATTGCCAAAAATTGCTAAATAAATCGAAAAGAAGCTTTTAAATTAATTTAATAAATGAAAATGTTAATTTTTCTTGTAAAAAAAATGTGGAAGATATCGAGGAAAAACTGAATTTTTAGTTTTTTGTTTGGTGTCGGCATCCGATATATCGATTTCACAAAGAAATCGATCACACATTTATTTTTTAGGCACTTTATTAGAGCTATAACATCTTTTATTAAAATTATGCCTGACAAAATAAATATATTACGCCTAACAAAATAAATATATTAAACCAACCAGTTTTGAGTAGAAATAGAAACTAGTAACTCTTCTTAATTTAAACTAGAGTTACAAAAATCTATACCTACATACTTATAAATCAATTAAAACCACTGATCTGTAATATTTATTGGATAGGATATTCGCTAAGTGCGAAATCATGTTAGAGGAAGCAAAAGTGGCACTAGCGGAAGCTATGAATAATTCAAGTAAGTTTTGCGTATCAAATACTGTTTTTTTTAATAGTTAAAAACAATATGGTGAGCAGCCGGAGTTGCTTTGTTGTAAATTGTAAAAATACTACCAAAAAACAGTGTAAATTTTATAAATTTCCACCATCAAAATGGAAATTAAATGAATAGCTGTAAGAAGAGAAAAATAAGTAATTAGCTGAAGTAATAAAAATATAAAATATTAAATGAATCTTTTCACTTGCTATATAAATCCATATACTTTTATTAAAACCAAAAAATATATTTTTGTACTACCGTGCGTAAAATTGTAATTTTTTTTCACTATTGCGTAAAATAAAATTACGCACTAGTGAAAAAAAGTAAAACTTGACAAAAATTGTACATAGCAGCAAAGTACTTTACGCACTAGTGATATTAATATTTCTAATATTAGTGCATAATGTGTACGGTAGTAGAAAACATATTGTGTTAAAACGAGTTAAACTTTACACACTTGTTGCATAAATAACTATTTTTAATTACGAATTGTATTGAAAATAATGCTGTCAATATACGCAAATATCACCCTTTAGTTCTTGCATTAGTTAGCACTGCTGTCACTCACGGAGCGAATAGGGTATCCACGATTGAAGCTAAGCGATATGCTCTCTGCTGGATATTTGTAAAAGGTGCCTGGAAGTAGGAGTTTTTGAATTGTTGCCAACGCTACTTTAGCGATTTGTCTACCAATATACAGAGTACTTCTAAATAAAATCGAAAAAATTTAAGGGGCGATTCTGTGATGAAAATTAAAATGGGTATTTGGTATAAACATTTTTGAAAAACTCTCCTCGAAAAAGTTACACTCCGAAGATTTAAAAAAAAATGGTCTTTCTTTTTTATTTTCCCTGTATATTAAGCTAAAGACTCGAAACTGGGTGCATATTATTTGTCATTGCAAAGCACAAACCTTAAGGCAAAATACCCTCGCGTTAGCACATCTTTTTGAAAATGCATTGTATTTATTTTTTTCTCGTAAATGCTTTTAAAAAACTTCTAGAGGTAAATAAGTTCGTAAATGAATTGGGCTTTTCATCCATATTTTTTTAAAAGAAAAATTTTTATCTAAAAAAAAGTGGTAAGAAAAAATATCTTAGAAATTAACTATTTCAACCCTTTTAAGCATATTTCAGGGTTGAAAAAATTTCAAAAAGTAGTTTCATTGACAAATAATATTTACACCAAGTTTTGTGTCTTTAGCTTGATATACAGGGAAAATAAAAAAGATAAACTATTTTTTTTAAATCTTTATAGATGTGTAACTCTTCCGGGAAGGGTTTTCTCAAAAAAATGTAGCGAAATATTCACCTAAATTTTCATCCCAGAATCACCCCTTCAATTTTTTCGGTGTTCTCTGTAACATGTGGAGGATGGGTTACTCCAACGGCACTTAGGCTTCACTAGGCCCATTGTGCATCCTAAGATAATAGGCACCTACTAGTTCGTGAGCTAGCCTACATATTTAATGTAGTTGACAGCGTCGCCAGAGGTGCTTCTCTTATATCGGCCGGTGTTAGCCGATACTCGCCGAACACAAATCTTCTAATAAATGAGAGCGTCGAGCAATCGCAAAGGATATGCTCGTTGGTCTCATCTTCTTGTTCACACCCTCTGCAGAGTGCGGATTCTGACAGCCCCATGATATGGAGATGCTTCTGTACTGATCTTTTGAATATCTGAAATACTTATTTTAAAAAATGTTGAACGTTGTAATTTAAAAAAGGCTGTATCGATGTACGTATTAAAATGGACGCAGTTGAAATTATTCACCGAGTGACGTCACGGCTAACCCAGCAGAAATTGCTAATTCAGCTATCTCTTTAGTTGTTAGTCTTTAAATTTCGCGTCATTTGTCAAACAAATAAATTGCTTGTTTCAAAATAGTTTAAAAAACTTTTGGATGACTCAATTCTGTTAAAAAGTTTTCGAAAAGTACATTGTTTATTACTTTATAGATGATGTAATTAATATTTAATTATTATGTACCACAACAATTCCATCAAAATGGATAAATAAATTGCCGGATGTGACTGAAAATAAATTAATAAAAGCAGTGCTTTTTAAAGTGTTTGGAAATGTTAAGTCAAAAATAAGGTACATTGTTTATATTTTTTTATTTCGTTAATTTTAATTGGACACTTGGCAACATCGCGCATAAAAATATTCTAATGAATAATTTCACATAAATGATCCTTATATGCCCTTACTTTATAAAATTAAAAAAAAATGGTTAATTTTTGGATTTCCGGTGGTATATTTGAAAAATACCCTCCGTCCTAAAGCCTAAAATGTATGTTTTGTTGAAATATTTGTATTTTTAAGAAGAGGGTGTCTTTCCAATATTTACCCCCATTTGATCCGAGAATTGTAATAATTATTGAAATAAAATAAAAACTAAATATTGACCAACATATTTTGTGCTAGTGCTACGGCCCTTTGGCCCCTTAGGACAAGCCGCCACAGAACTGTGTATAGAAGTTAAAATAATCATCTTTTTTAAATATCTTTTTTACAAAAATGAAAAAGAGAATTAAAAAATTTAAATCAGGTCCTGTATTTGTATATCGAAAAATAAGCTAAATATTTGACGTTTTTAGTTTTTATCTTTATACCTTTTTTGTTAGGTATTTTATCATGACATTCATGACATGACTCACGGCTTACTGGTCGATGTAATTTTACTCGGCTGTTCTTGTTCAGTTGAATATTTATTTGAAAAGAATGAAATTGAGAGTAGGTGTATTATTGATAGCGAGTGTCTTCAAAATGCATAATTATGCATCAAAGTGCTTAATCGGGGTAGTGCAGAATGAACAGTAAACGCTTTATCTTGTGTTTTAACACTTCAGTGAATGGTGAAAACTTGAAACACATTTACAGGACCGTATTGGATACATTTTAATGTAAGTTTTTAGATTTCTTTTTTTTTTAAAGTTGTTTATTTTAATGACTATACACAGTTAAAAAAAGTATAAACGTATAGTCCAGTGTACCAATTTTGGCGACATTTGTAAAATAATACTTATCATCGTCAAAAGAGAAAATTAAAATATTCGCTTTCATTGGACCACCGAAGCTCTCTTTACAGTCCTTACTTGTACAGGGTGTCCCATTAGTGCGTAATTGTTGGATACATCAAAACAAAAAATATTTTTAATATACAGGATGTTACACTTTTGTCTGACAAATCAAAATGTATATTTTTAAAATGGAACACTTGTATTTCATTTCAGTTTTAGAATGGTCTAGTGATACTGTCAACGCTAAAAAAAATTTAAAAAATATTACAGGGTTAAGCAAATAATTATTTTGTGAAATTTCAGAAATTAAATTATAATTTAGGTAGGTTAGTAATGATTTTAAAATTGTTTTAAATAGAGATTTATAATGAATAGTGGTGATAGAACTGGTTTATTTTATACAGGGTGTCTTAAATATGGCTAATTTTAAGTTTAATTTACAACTATTCCTTATAAATGTATCCACCTAACGATAACATTTTAGCCAATTATACATATACAGGATGTCCCATCAGTGTGTATAAGATCGATAGCTGTTTTATTATTGGAAATACGGAGAAATTTGTAATACAAAAGTTGTAGGATATTACAATTATTCTTAAATATACAGGGTGGTCCATAAATGAGGGGCGAATGAAATTTATACTTACTAAACCATCTGGATATTAGATTTGGTTGTTTTCACGTCGTTAAATAATTTTAATAGACTTAAAATTCCTAAAATATTTTCTATTTTCATCAGTTTCTTATTATGTATACAGGGTGTGCTTGAATGCGAGATTACGATAGTTTCAATTTTTTCAATTGCAATACCCTGTATGTTATACCACCAATTTATAAATAAATTTATTTATTTATTTTGTTTGGCATTGCCTATAACCAAACGCATTTTTCTTAAGATTTCTATGGTTTTATTATAAAAATTAACATTTTTCTAATAATTATAATTGGCTTTAGAAACCTTGGTCAGTTACAAAACTATCACGGTCAAATTCTTGCGGGTAAACGCAACGAATCATACCTAAAGTGGATCTACAATATTATTTTGAACATCTAAACCATTTATATAGAGTACGGATTTTTTTTAACTGATTTATTTTTTCACAAAAAATTAAGTGACAAATAGAAATGGAGATTATGTCATATTGCCTTATTGTTTGCCCAAAAAAGGCAAATTTTTCAGAACGATTTTTAGCCTGCTATATCATATCCAGTAAATATTATAGATCAGTCATCAAAACATTTCCGAAATTGATGTAAATACATCGAAGCACAGAAGGTAGCTGGAAATAGTTTTGACCCGAATGGCGCCTGCGGGATTCAAGTAATGACGTCGTTGCATTAAGTTTAAAAGTGTAATACTGTGTCCTCTCTTCACATACCCCAAAAGTCCTGCCTCTTTGATATATAGAGTGTTTTAGAATAAAGTAGCGTAAACTGTAGATCTTGAATAACTATTAAGAAAAGCTAAATATAATTTTTCTGTAAACTTCACAGTTTTCATTGTACATTGCGATAAAGTGAATTTCGTGAATAATTTTCCAAATATATTCCCTTTCGGTAAAGACTTTAACTTAATATGTACTTGCTAGTTAATACCATTATTAATTAACTTACTTTATTTCGATAAATTACGATAACTCATCAAGAACTAAGAAAATAATTTTAATCAAAACTTTTTGAACACCTTATAATTCATAAAAGTTAAGATTAATAATTGTTCATCACGCATTTGTCACAAAAAAGGGACTCTTGGTTGGATTTTTCAGTTTTAGTCCTACTCAAACATGAAATATATGTACAATTTTATCAAGGGCCGATTTCACAATGAATATTAAAAAGTCCTTTAACTAATGGACCTTTAAGTGTATAATATTTGTTAATGGACTTGTTTTTAATATTTATTATGATATCGGCCCTTGATAAAATTGTACGTTTGAGTAGGGCTAAAACTGAAAAATCTCGGAAATTGAATTTTTTTCAGAGATCAACCAAGAGCCCTTTTTTGTGACAATAATTATTAATCTTAATTTTTATAAAATATAGGGTGATCAAAAGGTTTGAATTAAAATTGTTTTCTCATCCCTTGATTCTACGCCAATGGGTTATTGTAATTTATCGAATTAGAATGTGTGCAAGGGAATATATTTAGATGTAAGGTAACTGCATCAATAATTGACACTATTAGACGCTGATTTGTATTAATAATTATTTTCACCAATGACAAAAAAATTTAAGCATATAATACGATTTTTCTTATAGCTTATAGTTTCTTGAGTTCATTAGTTATGTATTTTTAATTCTAATAATTTTGCTCTTCATAAAATAAATATTACAAAAAAAGTGTTTTGAAGTACCAGTCATTGACACTTGATTTTTTCGTGAACCAGTAATTGACACACCAATTATTGACACAAATTAAGGAACATTTTTGTATTATACTTTAATTTTGAATACAATAAGTAAATAAAAATAAACAGCAAATTCATAACACAAAAAATGAAAATTGATGGATGCTTTATATCAATATTTTTTGAAAATACATATTTTATTCTGTCGCCGACATTATGTAGTTCCGGTTGGGATAACTTTTTTATAATATATTCTATCTTGATTGTTGAAATACCACTATCAACAAGTTTTAATGTCTTAACATAAACACTCTATCACTGCACGTGCTCTTTTCACCATTTTGTAACTGACCGTGGTGCCACCTAACATCTGTCACGTAGGCTACACGGTTGCCAAATATTCTAAAAATACCGATGTTTTAAGATAAATTTCTCATATAGTCTAATGTTCTTATTTTTGAAGAATAATTGAGCAAGTGTCAATTACTGGAACACTGTCAATTATTGGTGCACTTACCTTATTTATGAAATTCACTTTATCACCCTGTAGAACAAAAACTTGAACGTTTACAGAAAAATTATATTTAGCTTTTCTTATTAATTAGTTAGTACATACCAAAGCTGAGTAATTTCTCATTCCAAAACATGCTATTTATTGTTTATTTGAAAATAAATCTTTGTATTTCAGAAAAATTAAGCCATTATCTGTTTGTTTTGTTTCTGAAGCTTGCAGCTTGCCCCCTTGCGACTACAGTGGTTGGAAGCAACATATCGCTTGGCGAATGTATTTGTCAAAAATAGCAAAATAGTTAATAAGGTGTCTCAGTTTTAGCTTTATTTTTTAATGTATAAATATTATAACGTTCAACAGATTTTTTTTGGGAAACATTTTGTTTATTTTTACTATTGATTTTTAATAATTGTCATTAGAATAGGCAAGAATTAAGTTTTCTTAAAAAATTTTAAATCTAGTTTTTTACCATGTGGTGCGAGTCTCCTTACAATAATAAAAAAAATCTTACACATGTAAAATAATATTTAAGTTTTGTGTGATATATTTATAAGTAATTGCGATTTCTACATCTATATTTAAGCTAAAATACTATTTAATCTGATATAGCGATGATCAGTATTCTTAAAAACAAAATACATAATCGAAAACTGTATTTGTTAAGGTTTATAGTGAACTAAGATTTAAAGAATGCTCATATATTTTAGACAGTTCTTACTAGCTATATCGTAAAAAATGTATCGGTTTTTAAAAATAAATCCCGACATTTTCGATGATTCAAATGTGATAGTAGCTGTAATATGAATAACAATTCTTTAAATGTTGCAGTAAGAAAAATAAAAATAGCACCATGATAAAATCGCTACAGAGAAATATACATTAGGGTGGATACTAACACTGGTGGTTGGCTTAACTTTTATTATACTATTTGACAAATATCCATGATTCTACAAGCTGACAAAAATATATTAAATAAAAGAAAGAAAACTGTCAATATGAAAAAGGAATACAAATCCCCTTTAGTTGATCTATCTTCACTTTTAATATACGGACTAAACGGGGCAACATAATTTTTATATTTTTCTGCACGGGAAGTCATCAACTTCCCATATGATTTTACTTATATATTTTGTCAACTATGTTTTTAAATTGTATTCTTTGGGGTCCTAATAAATTTTTATTTATTTTCTCTCTAGGTCCCATTTATTTTTCATAGATTTTCAGTATTTAAATATCTTGTATGAGCTCAGTAAAACAACAAGTGTTATTTCACAAATTAAAAAAAACTTTGAATAGATTTCTGATAAAAGTTATGTAAAATTAGTGCTATGGTAACTTATGTTGCTACAAACACCCTATAATTTATAGCATTAGCATTAGACAATTTATTTACATGTTTTAAATATCAGAATATATACAACTCAAATATAAAATATAAACACAATTCCCGAGGGTTTTGGGTCGGCTTTCACAGTTACCTGCTGGGCCAATGGTAATACTTTCACCTATTGTACACGAAGTCATTTAAAGTTAACGATTTGGCTAAACATAGCAGCCCTCACTCCTTGCCAGAGAGGCATTATTAAGGGGTTGTGGTGTTTTTGTAGTCAGTAATTGTAATAGTTTAGAGATTTGTCGTGGGTTAATTTGGTATTTGTCCCCTGAAAACTATAATTTATAGGGTGTTCTAGTGAATCAACAACTTGTATCTCACTGTTTCTCTAGAAGTATCAATCTGATATATGAGCTCAGCAAAACAGCATTATAATTTGTCTCAGCCTTGTATTGCACTATTGTGAAAATAAGGTTCGCCCTAATGTACATATTTTAAAGAACAGTTTATTAATGTGCTATTTTTTTTATGAATACGTTTTCAATTGCAGTCAAGTTTATTTACTTTAAAGCACCATTTTTAATTAGATTTCTTTGAATCGTTTTTTAAAGACTTTTACCTTGATACGTGTCAGCCTTATAAAACTGTACAAAAATGCATCTTCGGACCTGATAAAGTGTTTCTTATATAATTGCGTACTGCCTTAAACGTTTACAAAAAACTATTTTTAAGCTAACGAAAGGTATGTACACATTTACTCTTTAATTCCCGAAATTCCATATTGCGGAAGATATTTTCCATTTCTAATTTATTTGGTGGCAACTTTTGTGTAGGTATGACAAACTTATTGTGCACGTGTATAATTGTATTATTATGATATCTCTTGTAAATGTTTTTAAATACGTTTTTCGCTCTTATTATGATTATTATTTAAAATCACACATCGTCTCAATCACTATCACTTTATATCGAAATTATTTATTTTTGTTTTTATTTAATAAAAGTTGTTTTGTAATATGTAGCGTTTTCTTTTAATTTGAATAGAATATAATTTTATTAACTGTTACTATAACAAATGATTAACAGTAGGACATAATGCGATAAAACTAATCTAAATTAAATAATCTAGTGAATGTGGAATACGAAATACCAGAAAATTCTAGCGCACGTATCGATTCGCAAAGGCCATCGAGAAGCATCTAGAATCTACGAGACAGGTCTGGATTTGTCTAGAGCAGTGGTTGCCAACCTGTCGATCGCGAGCTACCGGTAGCTCGCGGAGGCAATTCTGGTAGCTCTCACAACGATTTTAATTTAAAAAATACAAACTGCAAAAATCAGAGAAGCTTTCAAAAATTCCACAAAAAAATCTAATTGTCATAATATTAAACATAAACAGCGGCAACGTTGCGGTGAGGGATCTGCCACTGACGCCATCAAGCTAGAATCGGCTAGAACGGACCAGCGCGTTAGTGTTCGAGAACGATCAGGATTGCTTTGAACGGGATAAATACGCACGGCGCGGCGAAATTGCGCTGAACGCGTAACCAACGTCCAGCGGTTGGGATTAGTAGAGAACAACAAAAAATAATATTATGACAAGCAGTTGTAAGAAGGTAAAGACATACCACTTTCATTCGGAATGGGAAGAACAATACTTTTTTACAGAAGTTGAAGATAAAAATGTGTGTTTGTTATGTAATACTTCGGTCTCCGTTGCTAAAAAAGGAAATATTGAGACATCATAAAACTGTACATTCTAATTTTGAAAAATCATTCCCACTACATTCTGCCGCTAGAAAGGAGAAACTGAAACAGTTAAAAAAGCAGTTAATTGGACATCAATCAATATTTTTAAGAACAGTCGACAAAAATAAGGCTGCAACTGAAGCATCGTACCATGTGTCCCAGATAATTGCACAAAAAAAAAGAAACCTTATGAAGACGGGGAAATGATAAAACAGGCGTTTTTAGAAGCTGGTGATTCGTTATTTGCCAACTTTAGAAATAAAGACGAGATAGTTTCAGCTATAAAATCTATGCAACTTTCTGCTAATACAGTGATGAGACATGTAGAAGTAATGAGCAATGATATTTTTTTTACAGTTAAGAACTAACTTAGATAACTGTGTTTATTTTTCACTTCAACTGGATGAATCAACAGATGTCGTTGACACTGCCCAGATGGCCGTGTTCGTCAGGATGGTTTTTAGTGATTTTACGATTAAAGAAGATCTTTTGAAGTTTTTTCCACTGAAAGGACACACTACTGCTTTACAAAGAAGATTATTCAAAACCTTGGCCAATGAAGTTGACTGTCAATACGGGGACCTACTCCTTCACTCTGAAGTCCGATGGTTAAGTAGAGGACGGGTGCTGAAACGTTTTAATGATGTCCTATCTGGCATAGTTCAATTTTTCAAACAACGCGATGAACCGACTCCGGAACTAGAAAATTCAATCTGGCTTAGAGATTTTGGTTTTCTCGTGGACATTACAGAGAAATTAAACGAACTTAATTTGCAGCTTCAGGGGAGAGACAAAGAACTAGCGGAAATGATTTCTGATATAAAAGCATTTATCAAAAAGCTGGAGTTTTGGGAACAAAGCCTAATTAACAGCGATGCCAAGCATTTTCCTATTCTTTCAGAAAAAATATCTCAAAATCCGTTAGAACCCTATGACAGCAAATATCATGTAGAAATAGTTTCTACCCTGAAGAATAACTTCAAAAATCGTTTTAAGGATTTCAACGAAATGGCTTTAGTAGCGCAGTTTGTTGTTTCCCTTTTTGGAAATTGATATCCAACAGTTTGCAACTTGTGTTATGCAGAACTTTGGCGAAGACATCGCTGCAACAGAAATGGAAGTAATTGAGTTTCAAAATGATTTAGTCTTAAAATCGTTAGTCTAAGTACCAAATGTATCTGGCCTATTGTAAGTAAAGACAAATATTCAGTTCTATGCCGTGTTGCCTTGAAAGTGAAAGCATTATTCAGTTCAACCTATTTGTGTGAATCTTCTTTTTCCAATATGAAGTTTATTAAGAACAAATATCGCAATCGACTTATAGATGAACATTTGGATAATTGTATTCGAATGGCTGTATCAAAATATACTGCAAACATTAAAAAAATTATCGATGAGTCTGTCAGCCTTCTCATTGAACGTGCTTTTTTAATTTTCAATGTTTATGTTCATGATAGTGCGTTACTTTTTTGTTGTTATTAACTATTTTTAAATCTTACGTGACATGCCGTTGTGGCTGGATAAAAGTTTGTGTTTATTTTTCAAACACCTTCGTTTGGTAGGTAGGAATGTAGCTATGAACAAGTACGTACTAGTAATATTAGTTATTTTGTTATTAGTTTATTATTAGTACCTATGAGTAAAATAAATACATATAATGATAAATTAACTGTGGATTATTTCATTTACGTTGCTTTACGTGGCTTCCGTGTGGGTAGCTCGCTGTTTATTCCAAAATTAACAAAGTAGCTCAACACATTGAGAGGTTGGCGACCACTGGTCTAGAGCGTAACATTTTTGTATATATTTGTGAGTAGAACTTTTTGATTTTCCTCCCGCGATGCTGTTCACTCTTTTTTTTGACTTATCACACCTAATCTGCAATCATCTGCGTGCTTTTTGGATCTTTCTTTATAAGATTTAAAATTGTTCATCTAAGCGCACTTCATTTTCAATTTAAATCAGACGCGAATAAATTACAATACCCTGTACAATGTTAAGGCCACTCCGCTACGCGTCGTGGCCTTACACTCGTTGCTCATGCTTTAAAGGCTCGATTATGCATTAGTGTCATAATGTACTATTATTTCTTATGGAATCAACTTTATTTAAATTGTAATAATCAACAAATAATCACGAATTAACAATACAAATCTAGTAAGTATAGTTTTAGGTTTTAAACATTGACTGATTATGTCCCTTTAGCAAAAATTGCTAATTAATCAAATCAGTTAAACCAAAAGGTTTAGAACCGGTATGACAGTATGTTAATCACCACCATATAAGAAAATGACTGATACTGATATGATAATATTATATAATATTGAAGGTGGTCTTAAAATTTACATTAAATTAGAAAAAACATCAAAAATTGAAATCCTTTAATTTTATGGACACAAAAATAAGACATTTTTCTACTAATATAACTGTGCAATAATATACATAGCACTCCCACCAATTAGTGCGGCTAGTGACCAGCTATTCTCTTCGGCTGGTATTATAGTGGGCGATTCATTAAAAGTGGAGACCGGTCGTAGCTCAGAATATCTTGAAGTATATCGCATCTTCCTACTTCAAACAGACGCCGAGATATTTAACAAACACTCTAATATTTCTTCAAAAAAATAAACACATTTCAGTGTCTTTTTCGATTATCCAAATTTTGAGATATCGCAATATTTGTATATACCGTTTTGTAACTCTCTTAAAGACAAATTCAACGCCGTAAACCGCATCTTCCAAAAAAAAAATCTACTTCAAGATGTTCTGAGATGCGGCCGGTCGTTAGCCTTAAGGGTAACTATCCGCTTGAGATTTGTACGCGTTTGCAAGGCTTTGGGATATAAATTCTCACCTTTTTATTTAACAAAATTAAAGATTCATTTTTTTATCAATTGTTAAGAAAACCTTAATATATGCTCCTATAGAATTAGATTTTTTTTAATAAATTTTTTGAAAAAGTTATTAAATCTCAAACCTAGTCCACAATTTGTTGCGATTTGCGCACTTGCTACGAATTAAAAAAAAATATTTTCCAAATTCTAATTTTATATTTAAATTTGTAAACGTGATCGTTTAGGGATTATGAACAAGAAACTTTTGACCTCTGGAATACGTGGTAACTCTATATCCCAGCAATTTTGGGACACCCTGTTTATAACTATAAATTTTATTTTGCGAAAATAAAAACTATTAAAAAATATTGTATGCGGCTGGGGCTAGCGCGCATCGGCGTTTCACAAAAAAAAAAAAACATAAATCGGAAACCGTTACCACTTGTGAAAATTTCTTTTCACCAAAAACTTTTCCACTTATTTGGGCACATTTTTCGTCGATTAATTATAAATTATTTTCAACCGTTTAAAAATTGTCTCGATGCTGAAATTGACACCTCAGTTTTAGTACCGCACCTCTTTTTAAATAATCTGACAAATCCTATATAAAATATTAAAATCTACAATGATTAGGTTTTCGACTGGTACAAGAATTTTGAAAAAATATTGGAAAATGGCGTCACAATCGCGAGTTAAACCCAAAAAATAGGATTTTTACGACAATTCAAAATAATCGGAAAATATTTTTTTCTTTTTGCAATTACCAATTTAATGGAGCCCTCCGAATTTGAATCCGAGTGGACAGATCGATGTTTTAGAGACGTCTTGCCGGCGGTTACTTCCTGAAACTATTGGAATCTCGATGAATTAAAATGTGTATCAAGAGTCCGGGTCTGCATATCATTGCAGCCCTAAATAAATTGCCTCTTCCAACGAGTTTTGTCAATTCCTCGTCTCTCACACCGAAACCCTTCAAAACCTATGTGTCGGTGAGAGGATACCCTTAATGAATCACCATGGGTATGAAAAAACAAGAAATCCTTTAACCTAAAAAAAGAGCAGATAAGTTTAATTTTGTTGCATTTTAACGTATCTACCAAAACTTGACTTTAAATATTAAAAAAATAGATGTATTTTTAAATTAATCTTTTAGATATTAAATGTTTTATTTTTCTTGAATTCTAAATAAAAATATTCAGTTTGTTTTTTATTCAATATTTGTGATATCGGTATATCGGTCGATCCCTAATTTAAGTCCGTTTAATTTTGTCATATTCGATATATAATTAATATATACGTCTATGTAATCTTACACGTTGTTAAAATATTAATATACATTTTAGAATCTCAAAATGTGGTGTAGAAAAAATATACTATGCAATATGTGCTCAAAGCACTTTGCCCTCTCGCTTGATTTGCCAAAATATTCTAGAAGCTCCGTGCCACAAACTTCTACGCTTATGGAAAAAGATTATTGCTTAGCGCACTTTCCTTATTGTACAAATTACTATTAGCAGAAATTTTAGCCCGTATATAATATTTTCTACATGACAACCGCCATAACACATGCTATTAATCGTGTTAATAAAGGCTAACAAAAAACACATTTTGACGCAATGCGCAATTGAAATTATCTTTTCATATCAGCATATTTCCAGGACGACGTTTTACTTATTTATTTACCACTTTATTTACCTTAACGACGATTTCCACACGATTTATATGGTAGTGTCCCGTGTCCCTACTCCTTAGAACAAAAAGAGCATGCGCCGGTATACTCAGAAAAACGTGCTACTAAGGTAAACTAAACTCTTTTAGAAACCCCAGAACTGTTCCTCTGTCACCATGAAACGACCTGTTCGAAAGCTATGAATCAGTTCGCGGAGTTGAAGTCTCCTAACTCTGAAATAGTCCGTGCGAACTATAACAAACTTTCTGAGCATATCAGAAGGTTGACCCCTCAAGGGATACAGTGCAGTGTATTTTGTGGGGGGGTCAATTGCAAATATGAAAATCCCGAAAGTTGGAAACCGGACAGTTTGGCGATTCATGGGATTTATTCTCATTGGTAAGTTGAAAAAAAAAACTATTTTGTTACTAGGATTGGGCAAAAAATTAATAAATACCTTGATTTTTAACTTCAAAAGATTAATTAGAGGCATGGGCGGCTCGTGACCAAAAATTTGGGGGTTCACAGTAGCAGAATATAGATCCCGGTACAGATATAGGTAAAAAACTGTCAGTGTTTTAGAAACGTATATTATAAACTTTCTAAAACACTAAAAGTTTTTTCATACATCTGTACTGATACCTATATTATGTCACTGTGAACCCCCCACGAGCCGCCACTAATTAGAGGTTAAATTGTAAACATTTAACGTTTTTGGAGATTAAAAATTTTTAAATTCATGGTTTTGGGTATGAAAAATTATAATTTTGTATTTATATCGATCTATTTTATAGGGTGCGCCATATAAGCCACATTTGTGGCACAAACGCAAACTTTTTTGGTTATTTAAGTTAGCGCCATTTTTGTAAAAAAAATATTAAAGTCAATTCAACAAAAAAGTTATAAGTAACTGTTATTAACCCCAAAAGTTGAACAGTTTTCGATATAATCGCATTTTAGAAATCAATTCTCACAAAATTGGCGTATGTGGCACACTCTATAAAATAAGTCGACGAAAATACAAAATTATAATTTTTTTTATACTCAAAAACGACCAATTTTAATGGTTTTATTACAAATCTAAAACATTAAACACGACAAAATAAATAAAATTTCACCTTTAATATTATCAATATTTATTATGAATATTATTAATATTATATTATCAATATTATTAATATTTATTATCAATATCCCAGACAGCACACCAAATCCTTTGGATATCTACTGGACATCCCAATATCCACTGAATGTCCAGTCCATGGTGGATATCTATTTTATATCCATGGGATATAATTTATAGACATGCAAATGTCCATAAATAATAGTAATTATATAGCAAATTATTAAAAAATTACGCCATTGTGGGTAATAGTACCGTTCAGATATTTAAAATTAATTTTTTTTAAGGTGTATTCAATATCCCATGGACATCCACTAAATATATCAAAGCCTAGGCGCGAACGCAAACCATGATGTAATTTTTGATTTTGCCCACTAAGAAGAAAGTCATTCTTGGACCGGTTTCGTCCTTATTAGGACTAGAATTATTTCCTTTTTTAAGAATAGCCCGCCTGGCTTTTATTCCACCTAGTCTCTGAACTAGGTGCTACAGCGGCCTTTGATTTTACTTACTAAGTATAGATGGCGATAACACTTTCGCTCGTTGAATATCTACTCATGCTCAACCCACCGTAATTGAGTTCGATCGAAATTGGTATTACAATCAAGACTCCATTAGAGACTGGAGTCGAGAATTTCTATTTATTGCTGAATAATCCTAATAAGGATGACTTTCTCCTTAGTGGGCAAAACCAAAGGCAGAGTGTTGAAAATATTTTCTATCTCTGCTATTTTCTTTCGACGTTATTCAATAATCATTGGTTACTTATGAACCTCTACTAAAGATACCCATAAAATATTTTGCTGAATATCCATAGAATATCTTCTATGTCCTGGGATATAGACGGATATTTGGATATCCATATTAGATCCAGTGGATATCCACAAAATATATTCTGTGGATATCTCTGGGATTTCTTGTATTGTCTGGGAGATACCCATTAGATATTTTGCTGGATATCCATAGGATATCTTCTATATTCTGGATATAGACGGACATTTGGATATCCATATTGGATCCACGGGATATTTCTGATATCCTGTGGATATATTGGATATCCACAAAAGATATTCTGTGGATATCTCTGGGATTTGGTGTGTTGTCTGGGATTATATTGAGGCAAGTTTGCTCAAATCGTATTATTTTGAAGCCAAAAATCTACTATACTTTTATGTACTATTACTTAAGCCTACATATATTCCGTTTTAAATGAAATATACCCGATTACAGGACGAAATATCTGATTTAATATTCCTAAAAATGAATAACTTAGTCAGAGACAAAAATAGAAACAAAGAAAGTCAATGAGAATAATTTATATGCCCTACAATTAGGTAGATACAATAATTATATCCTGGTGTTATCTCAAATTAGAATTTTGGAGTGATTGCAGTAACGTCCCAATTTTTTTGGGTTGGCGGGGAGATTAAAGTATTTTGATGAAAATATATACTAGTCCACCTTGATATTTGGAGTCAGTGACTAATTCATATTCATTAAAAAGATTGTATTACTGGTGCTGCATTTGTACTAGAAAAATCAAAATACTGTGATTAACTTGATCTTGGTTTAGTGACATCCTGTATAGCTGAAAAGTTGGTGTCCATAAGAATGTTGCCTCGCTTGACTTGTATACCTAATTTAAAAAATTAAAGAAAATGATACAGACCCTGGTACCTTTATAATTTCAATATCGGAAGGAATATCGTCGTATAATTTTGGATTTCAATAAATAAAATCATGTTTGTCCAATGGTTTTTACAATTCTGACCATATTCAAATTTAAATGATAATGGGCGGAAAACTGATGATTTTTCATCCACTATCGATTACGATGGTGTCACAGCTAATTGGAAAACAAATTGTAGATAATTACTAATCCAATTTTCAGGGCGGAAAACTGATGATTTTTCATCCACAATCGATTACGATAGTGTCATAGCTAATTGGAAAACAATTTATAGATATTTACGAATCCAATTTTCTAACGTTCCATGGCTTAACTTTTGAGCCCGTGGAGATAAAAAATAAATATCCTTTTATGATGCTTATCAGTAAGCTTTGAAGACAAGTACCGAAAACAATCCCTAAAAAAAAACCTTAAAAACGATCCCAAACTTTTTTAAAAAGTTTCTAAAAACGTACTTTTCTTTCTAATGTAAATATAAACAGAAACTGTTCTAATTATTTACAGGCGCTGTATTTTGATAAACTACAATGGTTATTAGTTAACGGGAATATGGGAAAACCTGCTAAATACATGTTTCTCTAAATTATTATATAGGTCCAGCGTGTGTTAAATATTTAACTTTCTTTAGTTGGTTGGTAAGTCTGGGGAAACTATATATTTTTATTCTTTTTGTGCGTTTGTTGTGTAAATCATTTCGATATATCTTAAGCTAATTGTTTGTAGTAAAAATTATTACAAATAGGTTATAATACTATTTTTGTCGCTTACGCCTCTCAAAAATATCCTATTTTAAAAATGTACTTACCTCTTTTTTTAACAACAGATGTGCTATATTAAATATCCAATACATACCCGCCTCTAAAAAAATTCTTCTCTAAAATCTCATCCGAACTTTGGCACAATGACAGGGGAGAGTGAACATTTTGTCTGAAGCTACCTTATCCTACTTCTGTCTTCTTCATAAATTAATTTTACCATGTATTTATTTACAAAATTCCTATTAATAAATAAAAGCTATTTAATTTTCTCATAAATTTTTACGATATTGAAAGAATAATAAGCTTTCGTGCAACTTGAATGATTAACTCATGTATGACATTCAGTAATTAATAGCATTATACAAAAATCGATAAATATATTAAATGAATAATAGGCAACCTATGTTTTTTTATTATAGGCGTACGTACCGACTACAATTTATTCTGTTTTTTATACATGGCAAAAAGGCACTGTAGTAGTAAAATGTGTAATAGTATAATAGTGTCTTTTGTCCACAAGCAAACACGCAATGGTCGCAGACCGGTCATACACAGAGATCATGACCTAATCTTATACATATTTTATATAAATTGGAAAGCGTGACTTAAAAAAAATACTTACTGTAAATATGTTTTAAAAAAAACATAATTAGTCCTTCCAATTTTTTATAAATTAATCAATGCATTCTTCTTTTTTTATACCCTGATGTCCTTTCCGGATCTTTTATAATTATTTCCCAACCCATTGTTTTTACATTATCACCATAAATTTGTTGCGTTATTCTATCCTTCTTAATTCCAGTTTCTATAATTTGATTTTCCGGACAGATTTTTTGTTTAAAAAAGAGATAAAAATTGAATGAATTTAGAAATAACTTTTCGATGACTAGGTGAAATTAGTGATGCATAGTTTGTCTTGTCACACCTCCTGTCTGGAGTGATCTTTGTTCAACGTATATACATCTTTTGGCAGGCTTTGGGTAGCGTAACGTTTGGTGACGTAACTTTTCGAAGACCTGCAAAAAGTTGTCGGTTTGTAATTGCCTACATTCGGTGTAACAGGGTTTTAGATAATAGTATTGCGTTACTTACGGCTCGGGCCTGATACAAAGGCGTATTCACTATTTATTTACGGTTTAAAAAGTATTGTTTTAAACATTCTGCCCCGCGACTAAAAGATACTGTAGATAATATTAAGATAATTCACCGTCCCACAAGTCAGCTATTGCGATTACACAACACCACGTATTACGATTCCAATTAACTTTACATGCTCCGTATTCACCAGACTTCTGTCCGTCCGATTTATTCCTGTTTTCAAATCTCAAGAAAAGCTTGGGTGGAAAGAAATTCTCTTCGAATACTGAAATTATTTAAAAGGTTTTAATACTTCTTATTTTTTTAAAAGGTTGAAAGGTATTGAAAAGCGTTGAACTAAGTGTAAAATTAAAAGTTCTATTTCAATTGATCTTTGTATATACTCGTATAAAATTATATTTTGCAGTAGATCATGCATCTTTTATTAGTTCTTGCAAGAGAGCCTATTGATTATTTTGTATTATTTTATCAAAATAATAAATAAGCTACTTTTATTCGAATATTTTCTACAATTATTGTATATTGTCAAACCAATGTATCAACTGGTAGATAAAAACACATCACGACAATAACTAAGTAATGCATGCAGAAGTGATAATTTATGAATGCCATAAAAGTGCCCCTATCTATAAAGGTTATTAACCCATATGCTAAATTTCTCGAAATGGATTCACCTGTTGAAAACGTTGCGTGCCAAAGAAAATTTGATTCTCAGTCATCTTCATCAGACTACAAGGAAAGCCTAAAGGCACTATTAGTGTAAAATCTTATGGTAGGTAATCAGGAGATGGAATGTTATTTAATATTTTTGGAAATCTCTAAATAAAATCTCAAAATTACCCCTACGAAATATTGAAAATTATTTAGATAGAGCTGAAGGTAGCGTACACCAAGTGAAAGGTCCGGAGTTCAAATCTAGGATTGAAGACTAATTAATTAAAATCACTATTTTTTTCAAGTTTATTTTATTCTACAAATTAGCAAAGGTCATACATTATTTTTAAATTAGTTATTTCATCTCAATAACCTAAAATGATTTTTTTAATTGTAGATTTTTGTTAGTGGGTCATAGAAATAACTTTCACAATAACATATTTGTCAAACTCTTTTAAAAAGTTAACTTACTTTAATTTTCTGCCTATTTTTATAATGATTGATTTTGATTTTTATTATTAAAGTTTTTCTTTTAGTTCTTGGGTTTTTAGGTGTTTGTAGATTAAATGAAACTCGTGTGTATGGTTATAGCTTTCGACACTGATCAGTACCGTCTTAAGTAATTTTTATTGGTAATTTTTTTTTCTTGTCATTAAAACATTGTTTTTTTTTACAAGAAATTAAAAAAAAAATAATACAATTTTACCAATAAAAACTACTGAAGAAGGCACTGATCAGTGCCGAAAGCTATAACCACACACACGAGTTTCATTTAATCTACAAACACCTAAAAACCCAAGAACTAAAAGAAAAAAACTAAATGAAGGAAAAACTGCTAGATAGGCATATTAGAGACTGGATATTGGTTCAGAGTCCAATATACCAAGACCAATACGCCTATAGTGCAGGGAAATCAACTGAAACAGCTCTCCATCAATTAATAAAAGGGGTGGAGAACACACTGGAAAACAAGGAAGTAATGCTGGGAGCTTTTTTGGATATCCAGGATGCATTTGACAATACCTCCGTTGAATCGATCTTTAGATCTCTTAAACATAGAGGAATCGAGGACACGTGCGTGTCCTGGATCGACTCTATGTTAAGGGAGAGAACTATACACACAACCCTTATGGGAGAGACAGTAGCGGCACGGGTAGCAAGAGGATGTCCGCAGGGTGGAGTGCTGTCTCCACTCCTGTGGAACCTTGTAGTGGACGGGCTGCTTAAGGCTCTCAAAGATAAGGGACTTAGAACACTTAGAACCCTGGGATATGTCGATGATCTAGTGATCATGGCACAGGGAAAATACAACACTATAGTAAGAGATCGAATTCAAGAGGCTCTAAATATAGTAACAGAATGGACATAATTGCATTCACCCGCAGGAGGAAATTGGAGGGACTAGGGCCTCTAAATCTAAGAGATGTGCAAGCATCCATCTTAAGGGGGAGGTAAAATATCTCAGGGCTATGATTTACTCTAGACTTACCTGGAACCAGTATCTAGAAAAAATCACAAGGGGAGCGGAAACCTAGTTAATGATGGCAAGGCGATCCTTTGGAAAAAAATGGGGGTTAAAACCAGACATGGTATATTGGCTTTATAACATGGTGGTGAGACCGATAATAACATATGCAGCTTTGGTGTGATGACCAAAGAGTCCAAAGACACAGCAAAAGAAAGCAATAACGAGGCTAAGCAAGGTACAAAGACAGGCACTTTTTGGACAACCCCAGGTTGATCCAACAACGTATAGAACCCACTCACCCAAGGATCTGTACAAACTTGTACGAGGTACAAAGGTGACAGAGTGGGTGCTATGAACTAACATGGGGTAAAACACAATAAGCCAATAGGCTTCAGTGTTATTCGGAGACATAGTCAGACGAGCCCAGGAGAAGAAAAAAAAAATGAAGTTGTAAGAACTTATAAAAGAAAGCTGAGACTTCCTTGGTAAAGTACCAATGTTATTATTAAATAGCTGTTAAATTATGTTTAAATCATTTTCAGTTTGCCACGTTATGTTATGTTGAGAATGGGGTGTTAATACACTGCGACCTAAAAGATCTATTGTGCCCCCTTCTGTCGCCACTGCACTAAGGAAATGTCTCAATGCCTATAGCGACCCTTCCAATCCTATTTTCTCAAGGAAGTGTAGGATTTGAAATGGCTTCAAGTTAGGTAAATCTCCCTCTTCTATTTGATATCCTCCTAGATATAGTGCTCTTGGATTCTGGAATGCTACACATTCAGTTAGGATGTGAATGGAGGTTTCGTCCTCCTCCTCACAGAATCTGCACTCACTATCCTCTACTACTCTCAGTTTACTTAGGTGTCCTTTTAGTCGGCAATGCTCGGTAAGGATCCCTGTTACAATACGTAGCCTGTTCTTGCTTAGGCAGATGCAAGCTTCCGATCTTTTCTGGTTATATTTGCCACGTTAATGCTAGATCTGTTTTATCAAATTTTATCGAATTTTTAAACATTTAGACATTTCCCACAATAATAGTAAATCGCCATTGATTGAATATTCCTCAACACTTGCAAAATGCTGACACCATATTTATTTTATTAATGGTATTGGAGGGCAGTGATTTCTCAGACCCAAATACCCTGGTGAATTATGTTGATACATTTAATTTTAAAACTGTGTATTTTAGGGCCGTAAATTATTGTGACCTCACATATGATACAAAATCCAAACAGTTCGTTTGTTTTCATAGCGGCGGAGTAATAATTTTTCAAACAGGAATAAAACGTAATTACAGGTCAAACACGAACAAAATATAATTACAGGTAAAATTCCATTTTTACAAGACATTATATCGACATTTCAGTAAATTTTAAGTTCTTTATCTTTTGTTCCAGTATGCCATTAAATATTTTTTTATAACATCCATTTTACGGTCAAAAAGGTGTGTATTATTGTTATTACCTTCTCTTTAATTATAATATTAACGTTAATAGATCCATCTGGCAGAATAAAGATAAGACGCTTAATCATATATGGACGTGAGGCAAATAAAGAGAGTAGTTGGTTTAACCACGCCCTCTCGATGACAAGGATATGATATACCATGTATAGTGCAATCCTCTTATTATTATATTTCTCTCCAATCAATACTATTGTGTTTCTGTACTAGACTCAAAAAAGCTAACTGTATATTTATTATTTTAAATATTTAAAAAAATTATAAAGTATATTCAAAAGAACAGTTATAGAAGTTTATTTTAACAATTAAAGACGTGTTTCCCTAATAAATTAATGTTATTCCAATAAGCCCTTCAATTTTAATACCCCAACCAAACGCCTTAAACACATTTGTTGTTTATACGAGTAATATCGCTGAAATACTTATTTTCTTGCAGGATTACCGACGATATACTTGCGATGGCTCGTCCCAGCACCATTGTGATAATCCAGAAAAACATAATTCAACAGTTTCAAAGGTATTACATCGATTTTCTTTACTATTCCTAAAATTACTAATTTTACTGATAGTTTAGGAATCAAATCTATTATAAACTTACAATCTCCAAGGGAACATGCCAGCTGTGGTCAGCCTCTGGAGAGCTCTGGATTCTCCTATGACCCTAACATATTTATGGAACAAAACAGTAAGTACTTTCCTTTTTTATCTTTATGCAATGTATGTTTTACTAAAAAGAAGCAGATTTCGTTTGTTGATACGTGTATAGAAAGTTTGGATTCTATGCATGGCTCCAGAACTACTTCATAATTAGATTTTCTCATGGATTCATAAAAATCTAAGCTTCCTAGCTAAGTAAATTTAATGTAGCTACTGATAAAGTCATCATCAAAGCCTTCTTAAAAATATTACAATTGTATGTAGAATTTAAAATTATTAACAAATGTATGATAAAACTTACGTCATATAGATACCTCCACAGAAAAAGTTAACAAAATTTTGAGTAAACTAACATTGTTATTAAATTATAGACTAGAAACAACCAGTCAACCGAAAAAAAATGGTTGGGAAGTAATAAAATTTAAAATATTTTTATCAGAGTGTAAAAATACAAAACATTACTTATTTTAAATATATTATTATCGGCTATCGAACACTTTCCAATATACTTTGCACGAGCAAAGCAACTACAGAAAATCAAACTGTTTATCTTGGATTTAAATTTCTAAATGTGCGGGCATTAGTTCACCATACATCGCTTGGGTTTTCCGCCCAAAGTGCCGTAATTCACCCATTTACGACGTAATCTTTCAGATGGTTGGAAACGATAAAAACGAAATACTTTCTATGTTTTATGCAAATTTTTTTCTCTAGTCATAAGAATACTAGGTAAATTAATCCAGAACATGAAATGGGTTTTAAACATGGGCAGTAAAACGATAATTTACTGAATTAAACTTTTATTAGTTCAATTCTTCAAAATACCTTGAAAAAATTTCGATTAAATTATTATTAGATTATTTTTAAATTTCGAAATTAACGGAGGGAGCATAATTATTATTATTATTAAACATATCGTGAATACGCCTAAAATTATTAGAAAGTATTGCTCGTTGTTATAGAGAAAATTCATATATTAGGTATTTTTCCAAATTTTCACTTAGTTTTTATGTATCCCCCTTAAATCAAAATTACATTTCATTCTAAATCGATATTAGAAATACTCTATTTGTATAAAATTGTACTCTTTTTGATAATTCGTTTTAATTTTTTATCTCTCTTCGTTTTTGCATATTGGGTATTTTTCCTAATTTTCACTCGTTTTTTATGTCTCTCCCTTAAATAAAAATTACATTTCATTTGAAATCGATATAAAGAATACTCTATATTGGATAAAATTGTATTCTCGTTTCAATAGTTCTTTTTTAATTTTTTTTATCTCTAATGGTTTTTGCATATTGGGCATATTTACAAATTTTCACTTGTTTTTTAGGTGTCTCCTTTAAATAAAAATTACACTTTATTCTAAATCAATATTAAGAATACTCTATATTGTATAAAATTGTATTCTCTTTTGAATTGTTCTAGTTTCAATTTTTTATCCCTATTTGTTTTAACATAATGGGCATTTTTCCAAATTTTCACTTGTTTTTAATGTCTCTCCCTTAAATTAAAATTACAATTCATTCAAAATTCAATATAACTGGATACTAGTAACAAATATCCATTGAATTCAAGTAGTGTATTCGCTCCGTGCGAAGCCATGGAAAGGGAAGCAAAAGCGATACTAGCGCTAGCCGCGGATAATTCGTGCATTTTAGGGCGATATTTTGTAATTTTGGCATATCAAATACACGTATACATTTTACTTTTTTTCAAAAAAGTAGGTATAAACAAAACAATAAGCGACCAGAGTTGCTGTGTTGACAATTGTACAAATACTAGCAAAAAAAAACAGTGAAAAAATTTGAGTAGCAAAGTGGAAATTAAATCAAAGAAATAAATGAATAGATGTACAATAAGAAGAAAAATTACCTTTATTTTTGTAATAATAACAGTAATGCTGTAAATAGTAGACATCAGAAACTTGAAAGGTTTTAAATAAACAATAAATTATCATTTTACGATGTTCTTTAATGTCCCTTTATTCTTAAATGTTCACTTCAGCAAGGACTAGATTTCAAGATTTCTGCCTTTGATTATTATATGTGGATGGAATGTAATTTTGTGACTTACTGATGAGAAACCAGTTTTAATCATTCATTCTATGTTTTCTTTCGAACAAAAATAAAAATATAAATAGCGATCCTTTTTTTATACATTTTAACTTCAGGCTATTATTAAATGGTATTTTTTTATTTTAACAGAACAGGCTAATTCTTCAATGACAACTTATTAGACTTAGGCAACTTCTCATACATTTTCCAGTAAATACTGTTGCCTGCCTATATTTCATTATTGATTTTCATTGATTATACATAATTTTCTTTAATTTAAGCGTTAAAAATATATAATAATAATAAATTAATGTTTTACTTGTTTTACAAATCCATATACTTTTATTAAAACTAACATATATACTTTATAATTATGAATTCTATTAAAAATTGTATTTGTCAGTATACACAGAAATAGTCCATTAATACCAAAACAATTTGGCGCTGCGGTCGCGCACGGAGCGAATACAACACTTCATTTTTTGTTCATTTTCTCATGCTGTTAAAAAGTTTAGACACTCTTTATATTTGCCAATTAAAATTTTTTATGATTGCCTATTTCACTAGAGACTTGCTACAGATAATTATCTTGTTTGTATATTAATTGTGTGTATATTGTATATTATTAGGTCGGTATTGATCAGAAAAGTTTGTAGTCTTTATTAAAAAGTTAGTAATTTTGTCCTAGAATCAGTTGTAGGGCAAACTTTTTAATAGAAATAAATTGCTATCTCGTAAAACTTTAGTGACACAAAGTTGGTTGAATGGGGAAAAAGTTGCCTATATTTCGAAGCCCATTCTCAGGACGTTTAGAAAACTAAAATAACCAGGTCGGTTTTCGAGATATTCGATGAAAAACAAATTAGTCTTTATTAATAATAATAATATTTATTCGGCTTTGAGAGATACATATTTACAATATTTTAAAAAGGTTAAAAAATGAATAAACATATAAGACCTATTAGTTGTGTCATCTTTAGCCAGTTGACTTTGAATGCAGATGTTCCTATAATTTGCCATGTCATCTACAGACCCTTTATTTTTATATATAGGAATGGATTTTGATTTTTTTAATATGCTAGGATAGTCACCACATAAAAAAGACTTGTTTATAAGGTAGGACATAGGTACACTAATATCTTCAGCAATAAAATACAATATTGTTCCATCTATTTCATCTATACCGGCAGACTTTTTACAAGTTGTTTTCTGTATGATTTCTGTTATTTCCTTTAGGGTAGTTGGAGTTAAAAATAGAGTGCTTATAGAAAAATTTAGAAGCCTTGCTTCACTATAATTTGGTAGAAGATAGTCTGCATCAGTAAACCGATTATTAAAAGCATTACATATATTTTGTACACCAGAAATTTTGTTGCCTTGACAACTTAGCATACTACTTTTTGCATAAATAGACTCCACCCCTTTGGTATTGTGTCCTACAATACTTAGTTATCAAAGAAGCTCTAACATATCAATTTTATTAGCGTTTAACCAATGTTCTGAAAAACAACATATCGCCGTTCCGGTAAAACAATGACGCAAATGCAAAATTTTAAATTTTTCAGGGGAGACGAAAAACGAATATTATTACTTTCAAATTTGGGCACATAAATCACAAAGAACTTGTCCTAAAAGCAAATACATCGTTTAACCATGGAGTAAGTAATGTCTCCCTTAAATTTGCAGACACAACTGATTCATATGTCATTGTTTTCCAAAAGTGGAGGGGAAAACATTAATATTTGAAAACTGACGCAACTACTATCTAGCAGCCGCGAGTGGATATAAAATTACGGCGTTATTATACCGTATAGAGGGACTAATTTGGAAAATAATGACATGTTAAAATCAAAATATCACAATTTTGCACTTGCGTCATTGTTTTACCGGAACAGCGATATATCTACTTTATTCTTTTTTAAAATTTGTTCTAGCTCACTAATTTTTTTCTGTATACCTTGTATACTGAAATGCATTAGTATGAAGTTTTTGTTGCCATGATTTTTTGACAGATGTTCTTCATTAAATATGATTCTTGGTGTTTTTGTTGTCATATTCTCCTGTTTGGATTGTTTATTTTCAAAAATAGACAAAAACACCGAAATTACATTTTTTCGAGCATTCTCTTCCAGAATTTCACCATCTAATGCGACTTTTACATTCAGTAAAAAATAAATAAAAATGACAACCACAAACTTTATTTTAAGGTCTTAGGTTCTCTTTATAGATTTTATTTAATTTGAAAAGTTGCTATTTAAAATATCGTTTTTATTGTGTTTACTGAAACAAAATAGAATCAAATAGAAGAACCAGTTAACACGCCAACAAGTTGGTAATTTTACAAAAGTGAAATTCGTTAATGTATAATTGTGTAGGTATGCAAAGTGTATTGATATGAATCTACTTTTTGAAATCGATTATTTTGATAAGTAGGTCATGAAAACAAGTACTTGCTAGAACGATGAGTAATTAGTAAAAAAAGAAATTGCTTTTACCTTTTTAAAATATCAAAGGGAATCAATTTCTATTTAAATGATCATTAAATAGTACTAGTGCCAGAAAGTATTTGAAACCAACACAGCAAGACAAAGGTCAAAATGTGGTAATGAAAAAGAAAATAAAAACAGTGACAATAGTCAAGATATATTTGTATGGGTCGACGTATTTCCCCAGTTACTACAAAAGTTGAAAGAGAAGGTTCAAACTGAAGGGGTAACCTTCAAAGAGGCCCTTACCACTACAAAGATCGCAATACAGAGGCACTCATGGAAACAGAGCAGCAAAAAGCTGCCGAATAATCCATAATAAGTACCTACGAAGGGCCACAAGTGTGTTGTTAGTAAATGCACACACAGGCCAGGGTACATAGTAGTAAGTTGTGCAGACAGCCGAAGTGCTTAAGCCCTGGAGGGTGCAACCTTCGACGCTCGGGAAGACATCGATATCTCAAAACCAACGATCTGCGCAAACTAAACAGCAGAAGATGGTGAAAAGAGGCTAGATGCCCAAGGAGGAGTTAACAGACTGAGAGTCAGTAACAACACCCTCAAAACCAACCTCTGGAAGGTGCTTACCTCAACTCCAAAGGAGAAAAGCCGTACACCGAAGTCCAGAAGCTGAACATGTCACCATATTTGGGATGGGACGAATAAAGTTCCATCTCAAAGAAATTGAACATGGAGAAAAGGAGAGTAACAGGGCAAAACCTGTCCAAAAAGGCCCCAAAACAAACAAATCTGGAACACAGTGTTATAGTTGTTTGTGCTCATACCTACTACCTTTTTCAAATTAATTTGAAGATAAAAATTAAATGGTATTAAACTCTCGCCTTAATATCGATAAAATTAAGAGCTCGTATATTTAGTGTGGCATTTGTTCTTGCATGAAAAGTAAGTAAAAAAAGAAATTGCACTTTTATGAAGCGTTTAGATAATACTTGGGTTATCTGGGAAAAATTAGAATAAAGCTATAAATTAGTATGTACTGATGATCCCCTTTCAGTTGCTCCCGGACTAGCTAGTTTGCATTCTTTTGAAAACAATTCACAAACTGAAAAAAAGAAAAAAAGGAAACCGATAGCCCGGGAGAAATTGAAAGGGAATCATCAAGATATCCAATTGGACTAACATTAGCTTTATTTTAATTTTTTCCAGGTAAATCTACTCCTATCTCCTGGCCTATTTTGATACGTAACGTTTCCAAGTTTTAACGTATAAACTAGATCGTGTCACACAGCATGTTTCTTATCAACGATTGTAAAATAGCCCCTAGTGGCTTATAATATTATATTTATAATATTTTAACACGCACCACTGTATTAAACAACCACTTTCCCATGTCACTTTACAACAGAATATCCTTTAAAAACGCGTTATCAGATTGGAAATATAATTATATTAAAGTGTTTGCGATATTAAAATAAGGTGTTTCATTTTTCATAAACTATGTAATTTAGTAGACTATTAAAAATACCGATATGTATCTGCATCACTTAAATGCGGTAGAACCTGGATTAGATGGGGTACCAAGACCAAGCCTTTGTTGGATAATAATAATTAAAAACCGGAATAATCCAAAAACTTAATTTTTTATTTTTTAATAATTTATGTATGACTACTAGATCGGAGGTGGAAATTAGAAAATATTAATCCTTTAGAAAAAACACTATTATAAGCAGACTCGATCACTAATAATGTCTTCATTAGGTAGATATTGTTATTTTCCCCACGGAAAAAACCGGGGATGTCTAATTTGTGGAACAAATGGACACCCAAGCAGAGGAGTCGGATACAGACGATTCAGGCTCCTTGAACATGATTGTCGGAGAGATTGCGTTAGCTTTGGACTCCGATAACTCAAGGGAAGGAGGAACTGCGAGAGCAGAGGACTCTAACCTCTTAACTGAAGGAGGATCTGTGAAAACAAAAGAAACGGGGAAAAAGCAGAGGTTAAGCCTGCTGACAGACCGAAAAAACCTTTAGGAGCGGAGAGAAAGAAGTTTCTGAAGGAAAGGAAAATGGCTGCAGGAACGTGGACGGAGGAAAATCCCCACAAGAATGCAGCCCAAAAACGGAGGGAGGACTAGATTACGTGTAAGAAGTTTTAGCAATCAGGCTCGTTTTTTCTAGTACCTGGCACTAATTTTGTCAAAATTGACAAGAGTAAAGTACCCCTTGGAGGCGATGGGGGGAAAAATGTTTTCACCTGGCAAAAAGGTATTGGTATAAGAATTATCATTGCGGAGTTTTAGCAATCTAGCGCGTTTTTTCTAGTACATGGCACTTATTTTGTCAAAATTGACAAGTGTAAAGTACCCCTTGGAGGCGATGGGGGGAAAAATGGTTTCACCTGGCAAAAAGGTATTGGGATAAGAATTACCTGTGCGGAGTTTTAGCAATCTAGCGCGTTTTTTCTAGTACTTGCCACTAATTTTGTTAAAATTGGCAGGAGTAAAGTACCCCTTGGAGGCGATGGGAGGAAATTGGTTTCACCTGACAAAAAGGTATTATATTATAGGTATTATACACCATTTTATCATTTTTGAAGTATGTGCAATGTCTAATCATAAATGGGCAAGCATTTATGAGATAAAATATTATTTAGCTGTTTTTATATTTATAAAGTTTTTTGTTAAGGAAATGGATATATAAATATATCTTTAAAACTATTTATCTTCTACATTCTAACAGTTTTCATCGAAACTATAGGTGTGTGGTGCGTTTACTCTTTTTCTGCTTATAGTAAGTACTTTCTTATTTACACTTATATAAATTTACTTTAAAATCAATACCATTCCTTCATAATTTATTTTTGTTACCCAGTCGTGTCCGTTTTCATATTTTCGTTAACGCAACAAAAATAAATCTAAACATAGAACATATTTTCCATTAAATAGCTTTTCTTTCTTTAGCATGTAATCATTCTGGTCTGTCGTGAATGGAAACACTTTGTGTAAGTCAGAAAAAGTGTTGTAAATGACCCCTAATTTACGTCTAGTTTATTATTATACTAGCACCATAATGTTATGATTTATTATGCCATGTCAGGTTGTCAGTATTAAATTAATATTCTTAATCTACCGAGGTCTACATATATAGAAACTATATAGGTATAATACAGGAATAATTAAAAGTAAGTACTATTTTATTTAATTTATTAATTTCTTTAAATATACAGAAAATAAAATTTGTGGAGCATGTACATATTCCTCAATATTCACATATTCATAATTATAGTTGAGGTCGGCTGTAAAATTTTTCATGCAAAACTTTTTTATCCAACATTTTTCATCCAAATTTTTCATTACATATTTTCATACAAAATTATTTCGTTCAAATTTTTTTTCATTCCAATTTTTCAGTACTGATCAGGAACTAAACCAGAACTGATTCAGAACTGATCTAGATCTGAATCAGATATAAACTAAAACTGATTCAGAACTGATCTATATGTTGTAAAACTCTCATTTAACTCAAAATCGGCTGATTTTAGAGAAAAAGTCATTGATGCTTTTTTGTAGAGCGGACATTTTCCCATTGAAATTTACTTTTGGCAAGCCGAGAAAATGTGAAATGCGCAAATTACAAGCAAAAAAGTAAAAAAAAGGGTCACAAATGAGATCTCATTTAACACAAAATCGGCTGATTTTAGAGAAAAAGTCATTGATGCTTTTTTGTAGAGCGGACATTTTCCTATTGAAATTTACTTTTGGCAAGCCGAGAAAATGTGAAATGCGCAAGTTACAAGCAAAAAAGTAAAAAAAAGGTCACTTTTTCATTAAAAATCGAGTTTTCTCAAAAACGGCTGCTGGAACCGATTTTAAAAAATATATTGCGCCAATCTATAGCCCTTCAGAAATACTTTGACCGAAAAAAAAGTCTAGTAAATAAACTTTTCATTTAAAGTTGGTTCCCAAGCACCGTGAACTAGGTTGCAAAACTGGATTTGTAGAAGTGGGTTGTGAAACTAGTTTTAAACTTTTTTGTAAACCAGTTTGTTTGTAAACTAGTTTGTAAACTAGTTTGTAAACTAGTTTGTAAACTAGTTTGTAAACTAGTTTGTAAACTAGTTTGTAAACTAGTTTGTAAACTAGTTTGTAAACTAGTTTGTAAACTAGTTTGTAAACTAGTTTGTAAATTAGTTTGTAAACTAGTTTGTAAACTAGTTTGTAAACTAGTTTGTAAACTAGTTTGTAAACTAGTTTGTAAACTAGTTTGTAAACTAAACTAGTTTGTAAACTAGTTTGTAAGCTAGGTTGTAAAGCTAGGTTGTAAAATTAGGTTGTAAAACTAGGTCGTAAAACTAATTGGTACTCATAAAACTTTTGGAACAAAAACATTATTTTCGAGATTAAAATTTCAAGAGGGAATACTCAACAAAAAAATGGTAATAATGGCAATATTCGCATCAATTCTAAATCAGTTCTCAGTTCTGGATCAGTTCTAGATTAGTTCTGGATCAGTTTTATATCAGTTCTGGTTTGGTTCCGGATCATTTCTGAATCAGCATTGGGATTCTCATTTTTCAATACGGCACGTGTTGGTTCGCCTATATCTTCGTTCCACAGAATGCGATTCTAATGTCTCTCTCTATTTGATTCGTTACGTGTTGAGTTCGCGGATCAGTTCCGAATCAGTTCTGGTTAGGTCTGGATCAGTGTTGGTTTAGTTCCGGATAAGTTATGAAAATATTGAATGTGGAACAACCTTTCTGACTAACAAACAATTACAAATAGTGTTGTTAAGAGATACGAATAGATAATATTGCTCGACAATTTATATTTATATTTTCCTATATTTTTTGTTATATTTCTTTCATAATTCATAATTTTTAATTTTACATCAATAGACATACCTAAAACATTCCACAGGAACCTTCAAAACCCGCGTCAACAAACCAAATCTGCATCTGTCTTGTCTCTACCTTGAGATGGTGATTTTTTCTGCACCACATTTTAATGTTAACTATTTTTAGTTTATTATTATAATTTTGCTTGGAAGGACTACGGTGACGCCACTTTAGCAGGACTCCTTAATATGGTAAAAGTGTTGGCGTTTGCATTAACCGAAGGAAGGGTGGCGATACATTGTCATGCAGGTAAGTATGTACATTGTACATAATCATAAAAAATTATTGTGTACGGCTATTCATAACTCTGGTCTCTGCCTATGATTTATTAAAATATCGATTTTTACATTATGTTGGTGCCCAATAATTCAACTTTTCCAATCTATTTCCATCATTATATTGAATACTTTCGCACAAGGGCGGCTCTAGGCCGAATCCAAATATAAACATTAATGACACAGACATGTTTTATTGCTTCAATTATAATTATTATTAAAGGTGAAACCAACCGAAAACTAAAAATTAGATAAACGGTGGTAAAAAAGCATGATTAATTAAAATTATAAAATTACTCATGGATTGAAAGAAATTAAAATTAAATAATACATTATAAAATGGAGAAATTACAATAAATTAAAGAGATAAGCAGCTCAGCTGGTCACATTAATCGAACATATTAAATTTTTAATGAATGCTGACGACCTAAAATTATTAATTGAAATCAATTCTGTTAACCATTGATTGCGTCTTCACAAGTGTTGCTGTCTCGATAATTTTCTATCTCTAAATCCTGAGAAATGTTCCGTAATGTCTTTAAAAAAAAGTAAGACCCATAATTTTTTATTACATTTCATGACAAACATTTTAATTCAAAACTGCCTAAAAAATTCAAAAGATGAGAATAATTATTTTTGATATAAAAAACTTTTTATAATTCATTGCAGGTCTTGGGAGGACAGGAGTTCTCATTGCTTGTTATCTAGTATATTCCTTGAGAGTAACAGCTAACGATGCTATTAGATACGTAAGACTTAAAAGGCCTGGTTCCGTACAAACAAGAGGTCAAATTCTATGTGTAAGACATTTTGGCCAGTTTATTCTTCCTCAAACTATAACGTATTTTATAAAGTAAGTTCTTCTAAAAAAGCGTAATTATTTTAAAAGCTTATTTCCTATTTCATAATCAAATTCTATATTAAGAGGACAATAATTTCGGAGTAACTATAGATTTTATAATAAATTAAAACGACTTGTCTTAACAACAGTTGACCAGTTGAAAATATAACGCGATGAATAATCTAATATCAAATTTACAATTCTAGAATGAGTTATCTGACCGCTTCAGCTCGATTTAGCTTGGTTGACACCTTTTATTAGATATATAGATATAATGTTCTGTAAAGTTTTAATTTGGGGTTATTTTTAATTTAAAAATAACTACAAAGCTTATTTTTCAAAAGATTGATTATTAGAGCAAATAAATCCAAATAGTAGGGCGAGCAGATTTAGAAATAAACTATTGAGTTGGTCAATTATTTTCAGACCAATCGATTTAATGCTTTGTAAGTTCTAAAGGTACTCTGAGATATTTCTGAATATTTATCTTATGTGTTGTATAATTTGGTTTCTAGGGATCTCGTAGGTAAAGACAAATATATGAACAAATTTACACTCCATAGGTTTTTAAGAAGACAAAAAGTGGTACTTCATGGATACGATGAGAGAAATTTTAAATTTATTCCAAAGGTATTGTTAAACTTTATTACTAACGTGGGTCTGGCGTTTTCTGGCGGAAAACAGTAAAAAAATATCCTGCATTTCGAATTGATTGCCAATTACTTCCTTTTCTGTACTTTTTTTTTTTAAATTTAGGATCGTACTGACATAATTAACAAATGTGCCAGTATTGTCCTAATGAATTACAACCATTCTGTTTGAAATGCCTAATGTAACCAAAGTATGTATAGTACCTTGTGACTCGCCCTTATATGTTTTAGATTATCCATCATATTTGTGAAAGAATTTTAAAGTTATGCTCCTGTTGGGTAAATGAGTTTTCTCCGTCAAATATACCTTATACAGTTGATTTTTTGGCAGGAAAAATTCACGGAAACTTAAACAGGCATTCCAGTACCTACAGTATTAGCAGTCTATCAAGCACAAATTCAGATCGTAAGCGCTTTTTTATGGATGGGTTATAACAATAAAACTGAGGCGTCACTAAATATCGCCCCCAGCACGCCCATTAACTTACAGCAGATTTGCGACTGTAATTGGCAATTTTATTAGTTTTATGTGTTCTAATATTTCTATTCTTTCTATCCATTTGACATAGATGAAAGATGTTCATGATCTTGAGCTCTTACTGTATTTGGTCTTGGAATGGAATACTATTGGAAACATGTCAAATGGATAGAACCTGGATATAATTGACAGAACAAAATTAAATCGCCAATGATAGTCGTAAATCTACTTTACTGGTAGCCTACGTTAAAGTGTGCTTTGGGTGATATTTAGTGTCTCCTTAAAACGGTACGTTTTTGTTTTAGAAATATTCCTAAACTCCGAATTGGTTCAATCACCGGGCGATATGCCTTCTCCTTCCAGTCCTAACCCCTCAGAAATGGGTGATGTCATGGACTCGTTTTCTGAGTTAAGTACTTTAGATGGCGAAGAAATGAGCGAGGAAATCCTTTTAGAAAATAGATGTTTTCAAGAACTCGAATCTCAGAAATCGTTTGCTCAGGTACAAATCGAAGAAGAAATAATAGTTCAAGATATTAGCGTGGCAGTTAATGCATTAATTAGTGATATGGAAACTTTTAGTGCTGCTACTAAGAAAAAAATACGGGATTATCAACATCAAATAAATTCTTCTCAATTGGGATGGGCGAAATTGAGCGTAGAAAATGATTTAAGTGTGTTGGCTTCTCTGCTCTTTGAGTGGTTAGAGGAATTGAAGGTTCCAGTCATCAAAATGGAGAATTTTGAGAATATTGTGGTACATTATAAGGAACCTGAGTTATGCATACAAAAGTTTTCTTTGGTAAGTGTATACATTATATGAGAGACGAATCATATTTATATATTTGAAGAGCTGATCAATCATGAATATTTTTCTTATAGAACCATAAACATAATTTGCGCATGGATGCATAAAATAAAATATAAATTGCTAAATACGGATATTCCCCCCGGTATTTCCAATAAGCGGTGAAGACCTCAAAGTTAATTTAGCAGTATTCTGTACAAAATTAAAAAAATAATTTCCTGGGATTATTTGAGAAATTTAGTCGCTGAAACAAGACTACGAGATCTGGCCTTACCTCTGTTACAAAACTTTAGAAATCTTGAACTACGGGGGCTCTCGCAATTATTTAAAAACGGGAATTTTTTGGAAATAAACATTAAGGGGGTTCTCACAAATGTTTACAGGCGGACAACTTGAACTAAACATTTCTATAATAAAATCTAGTGACCTCGTTACAAGTTATTAATTAAAACTTACTGCAAGTAATAACATTTTAATTTTTTCTTTCAGGAGGAATGCTACCTAATAGAATACTTATTAAAGTTTTTCCTTAAAATCCAACCTGTCAGTAAAGAAAATCAAGAAGATATGTTAAAAAGGATGATCGCAGCACTGTCTAAACACAGCGTTTTGATAAATAACAATGCAATTCCTTCGGGTAAGTATTTTTAAACTTTCTTAGTCAATGTTTTTTTGATTTAGTTAATAATATAGTTACAGTAAAAGGTTCGTATTAGGCATTCTAACGACCTGTACAAATGGCTGCCAAAGTGTTTTTACAAAGTCAATGATAGTTATATCTCAATATATAGATTATTCAGAGTGGGCCTCATTATGCGCGGCTATATTGCCCAGCATTTAAAAAATAATTACCTTAAAAATATGATCAGTCTATATGCCTATAGATCATTGACCCTGTCTAAGCACTTAGGCAGCCATTTTGTTTGGAATGCCTAATAGTTACTAGGTATTCACATTTTTATTATTAAATTAGAAGATTAAATAACCAATCACAAGAAGATAATTCAGATTGTCATATGTACAAATGGCTGCCAAAGTGTTTTGACAAAGTCAATGATAGTTATATCTCAATATATAGATTATTCAGAGTGGGCCTCATTATGCGCGGCTATATTGCCCAGCATTTAAAAAATAATTACCTTAAAAATATGATCAGTCTATATGCCTATAGATCATTGACCCTGTCTAAGCACTTAGGCAGCCATTTTGTTTGGAATGCCTAATAGTTACTAGGTATTCACATTTTTATTATTAAATTAGAAGATTAAATAACCAATCACAAGAAGATAATTCAGATTGTCATATGTACAAATGGCTGCCAAAGTGTTTTGACAAAGTCAATGATAGTTATATCTCAATATATAGATTATTCAGAGTGGGCCTCATTATGCGCGGCTATATTGCCCAGCATTTAAAAAATAATTACCTTAAAAATATGATCAGTCTATATGCCTATAGATCATTGACCCTGTCTAAGCACTTAGGCAGCCATTTTGTTTGGAATGCCTAATAGTTACTAGGTATGCATATTTTTATTATTAAATTAGAAGATTAAATAACCAATCACAAAAAGATAATTCAGATTGTCATATTATAACGGTTGTAACAGAAATATAGGTTTTTGGGATAACCTCCACTCGTCCAATTTTTAAATAAATCGAACGATTACTCAAATGTAAAGAGTGATCCACAAGAAATGTTTCTAAAGTAGTTTATGACTAACGACAAAAAAACTATTACATTCGATCATAATTAAGCCTTTATTTATTGCAAACAGTTTATGGTTTATATTAGATAGACAGCTGTTGCATCGGCTGATTTATTAGACCGAGCGAGACAGCTGCTAAATTGAGTGGGGATGGTTTGGGCGAGCTTGTCCTGAGTTTCGAGCAGGCGATTTATAAATGAATGAGTACGACTACGACAAAGGCTGCTACCGAAAGTAGGGTTGAAGTATGTGTGACATGAGAGGGAGGTACGTAGTGCGTACAAGGCACTACATTCCCCTTTTCCAAGTTTATTATAGATCAATACGGAAATAATAGTCAGTAATTCGATGTGTGAAGATTGCTCTCATATATCATTGCACCAAAGTTTGGAAACATTTTTTGAGGTTACGGGACCGAAGGAATCTATATTGCAGTTGCATATAAAGCAACACTGTCAGTATTCTTCATTATTCATTATTCTTGTTTTAGGAAAAGGATTTAAAAAGATTGGCGATGGAACTCTGACCTGTACATATCACCTATTCCAGTCATTGGCTGAACTAATTGAAAACCACACAAATGATAAGGCAGATATGATATATAATCAGGGTGAAGACAAGATATCTGAAAGTTCTGATATTGAAGAAGACTTCCATAGATAGTACATTTATCTTAAGTATTTAAACATTTTTTTTCCTTTTTCTTGTTTATGAAATAACCAAATGCTTTTTGTTGGTTGTATTATTCTTCATACGAATGACGATAAGATGTTTATACATTTTGATTATAATGTAGTTTTAAATTTGTCAAGCATTTAAGAGCAAACCGAACACCAGTAATTTCTAATTCCTTTTGAGTCTTTATTTTTGGTCCGATTTTTGTGAAATTATCAGGAAATACTCAGGGTCGAAAAACTGTGATTTTTTTTTGGATAATATTTATAAGAGATAAAAAACATTTATGCTCCATTCTGTATATTAAATCTATGAAACTTTAATTTTAAATGTCTCTGTAAAGTGTGCTGCCTCATTATCGTTGCACACAGGAGCGGATATGACCCCTTAGGAAATCTCTTGAATTCTTTTCAAACTTAAATTGTTGATAAAAATAATTAAAAACCGCGGAGGCACCTAATGTCGCTTGTAGGACTAGCGAACTGGAAAATTTCCCGGTTTCCAGGTGAGTCAATTCCGTCCCTGCTTCATTGTTAAGGGTGAAGGCCATACATTTTTTAATAGTTTCGCCATCTATTGACGGATCTCAAAACAAGGGCTATTTTATAATAGATTTTTGCGTTGATATGTTCTTTGTTTTTTCAATTCGTCTATAGATGGCGCCACCATAACAAATAGATAGTACTCATTGTCAGCCATTTTATGTCCACATTTTAAACAGAAAATAGCTTTGGTAGTGGAGTGATTTTTTTTCGTTTTCTCGCTAACTATACATCAAAATCAGGCGCGGATACATAATAGGGTAATTACCCCCCCCCGAGCTGCTCGAAAAAATCGAGGAATTTATTAAATTTTAATCTAAAAACAATGAGATTTTACAAAAAAGCAAAAAAAATCTGATATGTCGAACACATGACTTTCCTATCTAGTTATTATAGGCTTTTTCTGGTTATTTTGTACAACCTATTGCAGCACCTCTATAAATGTTTAGAGGACAATCTAAATATATACATTTTCCACATACATCTACCTCGAAACATTTTTCTATAGATATTCATTGAAAACGAAAATACTGAAAAATTTAAATTTAGCACTTTTCCTCCAATTTTTCCATTACGGTCCATTTTAGAAAAATCATGTATAAACAAAAATTAAAGAGATCGAAATCGCAAACAACTTTTAGTTTAACAATTTTCTTAAAAATCACAATTTTGCACATTTTGTCAAATTTCTCGAATACGGACCATTTCTGGAAGATTTTACATAAAACAAAAATTATAAATAATATTAGAACTAACTTTTATTTGAACAATTTTCTTCTCCTAACGTAAATAACAGATATATTCTATTAAATATAAAAATGACCACATTAAAGTACCCCCCAAATTCGACTCTGTCCAAAATCTAATCAGTTCATTGAACGCCAGAATAAAGCTTAAGTTAAAAATTGGGTGTTTTTCTTTGTATTGGTTCATGAGTTATGGTGGATACACACACACACGCGCACGCACGCACTGACACATACACACACACACCACACTACACCACACACACACACCGCACCACACACACACCACACACACAACACACACACACAACACACACACACAACACACACACACACAACACACACACACCACACACAAACACCACACACAAACAACACACACACAACACACACACAACACACACACCACACACAAACACCACACACACAAACACCACACACACAACACACACACACACACACACACACACCACACACAAACACCACACACACAAACACCACACACAAACACCACACACACAAACACCACACACACACACACACTACATACACACCACACACACGACACACACACCACACACACACAAACACCACACACGCACCACACACACACAAACACACACACCACTCAATATTCTTGAGACACAACATTGTGAAGTATTCCCAGCGGCGCGCATATTAACTCAATTTTATATTGGAAAATTTTTGCTTTTCGCGAGAGGTCCGGTTTGCTCTTAAAGTGTAATTTATATTTTTATATGGTCTATCTCAAAACTTTGATAGCAGACGAATTTTAAGACTTTTGTTGCTAGATTAATTGAAATACTAATGTTTTTGTTAACTATTTATTCGAGCTTTTTTTTAATTTATCCCGGGAACGGTGGCGTTGTTGGATTTTGCCTTTTGTTTATAAAATGATATAATAATTTTAGGGTTAAAAAGTGGTGTTATCTATTACACCTAAGTTTATTCTTTAATCTTGTATGTTTTGTTCAAATGTTGTACAAATTTTGTCATTTGTTTTAAATATATCTTAAAATATGTATTTTTCATAAATAAACATCTCCTTAATCGAAATCTACTTTTATTTCTTTGAGTTATAAAATTTAAGAAAATGGATAATAAATGGCTAACAAAATTTGCAACAGTTCCATCTATTACCCAAAAGTTAAAACTATTTATAAAAGAAGGAAACTGTATTGGTTTAACTATAGGCAACCATCATTACAAGTTGTTGTATTCTGTGTTGCCTGTCAAGTACAAGACTAATTTATTTATTTACGGGCAAGCCCATTTGAGAAATAAATTACAATTTTAAAATTATAATTAAAATGTAGTTTAATATATATGGTGTTGAAATACAATCGTGGTAAAATTCATAAAATAGGTTAGGAATTTAAAAGACAATAAGGTTGAATAAAATAATTACATTAAACATTAAAATTAAAGATTAAAAATTAAAGCTCAGTACTAAGTAATTGCTTTATAAATTTATGAAAGGGGGTGTTAAACACACACACACCACACACACACACACACACACACACACACACAAACGCCACACACACAACACACGCACGCACATACACACGCACCCACACACACACCCACGCACACAAAAACAAACACAAAGACAAACACATGTGACCTTCTATCCGTATGCAAATTTAAATTGTTTTTTATTTTTTCAAAAAAATCGAAATTGGGGTACATATAAAGGAAAGCACGAGCAATTAAGGGGTGAATTCAGTTGCTCCCTAGCTATAAGGGTTAAGTTTTTTTTCTTAATTCCTCAGTTAATAATAATCGAATTATTCCATAAATTCACATAAAGGTAGAGCCGGACGGATAGTTTAAAATGCCCTCTGCGGCTTGCATCTATCTTGAGCCGTTTAGTCGTTATTCACATTTAAAAATAAGTCAAATACCTTGTCGCGTTTCTGCTATCCTGCTACCAAAATTTTGTAGACAAAATTGGATCTTTTCGAATTCGGAACTTTGTATCAGGATAATAGATGAGCGAGGAGATATCAAAAATGTTTATTTTTGCCACAACTTTTTTAATATTGCTCTTAGAAAAAAACTGAGTATATTTTTGAGATCTACATGTGACCTTCTATCCGTATGCAAATTTAAATTGTTTTTTATTTTTTGAAAAAAATCGAAAGGGTATAGCCTTCCAAATTTTTCGCCAAAAATTTTTTTTGTGTCCAATCTTGATGAAAATTGGGGTACATATAAAGGAAAGCACGAGCAATTAAGGGGTGAATTCAGTTGCTCCCTAGCTATAAGGGTTAAGTTTTTTTTCTTAATTCCTCAGTTAATAATAATCGAATTATTCCATAAATTCACATAAAGGTAGAGCCGGACGGATAGTTTAAAATGCCCTCTGCGGCTTGCATCTATCTTGAGCCGTTTAGTCGTTATTCACATTTAAAAATAAGTCAAATACCTTGTCGCGTTTCTGCTATCCTGCTACCAAAATTTTGTAGACAAAATTGGATCTTTTCGAATTCGGAACTTTGTATCAGGATAATAGATGAGCGAGGAGATATCAAAAATTTTTATTTTTGCCACAACTTTTTTAATATTGCTTTTGGAAAAAAACTGAGTATATTTTTGAGATCTACATGTGACCTTCTATCCGTATGCAAATTTAAATTGTTTTTTATTTTTTGAAAAAAATCGAAAGGGTATAGCCTTCCAAATTTTTCGACAAAAATTTTTTTTGTGTCCGATCTTGATGAAAATTGGGGTACATATAAAGGAAAGCACGAGCAATTAAGGGGTGAATTCAGTTGCTCCCTAGCTATAAGGGTTAAGTTTTTTTTCTTAATTCCTCAGTTAATAATAATCGAATTATTCCATAAATTCACATAAAGGTAGAGCCGGACGGATAGTTTAAAATGCCCTCTGCGGCTTGCATCTATCTTGAGCCGTTTAGTCGTTATTCACATTAAAAAATAAGTCAAATACCTTGTCGCGTTTCTGCTATCCTGCTACCAAAATTTTGTAGACAAAATTGGATCTTTTCGAATTCGGAACTTTGTATCAGGATAATAGATGAGCGAGGAGATATCAAAAATTTTTATTTTTGACACAACTTTTTTAATATTGCTTTTGGAAAAAAACTGAGTATATTTTTGAGATCTACATGTGACCTTCTATCCGTATGCAAATTTAAATTGTTTTTTATTTTTTTAAAAAAATCGAAAGGGTATAGCCTTCCAAATTTTTCGACAAAAATTTTTTTTGTGTCCGATCTTGATGAAAATAGTGGTACATATAAAGGAAAGCACGAGCAATTAAGGGGTGAATTCAGTTGCTCCCTAGCTATAAGGGTTAAGTTTTTTTTCTTAATTCCTCAGTTAATAATAATCGAATTATTCCATAAATTCACATAAAGGTAGAGCCGGACGGATAGTTTAAAATGCCCTCTGCGGCTTGCATCTATCTTGAGCCGTTTAGTCGTTATTCACATTTAAAAATAAGTCAAATACCTTGTCGCGTTTCTGCTATCCTGCTACCAAAATTTTGTAGACAAAATTGGATCTTTTCGAATTCGGAACTTTGTATCAGGATAATAGATGAGCGAGGAGATATCAAAAATTTTTATTTTTGCCACAACTTTTTTAATATTGCTTTTGGAAAAAAACTGAGTATATTTTTGAGATCTACATGTGACCTTCTATCCGTATGCAAATTTAAATTGTTTTTTATTTTTTGAAAAAAATCGAAAGGGTATAGCCTTCCAAATTTTTCGACAAAAATTTTTTTTGTGTCCGATCTTGATGAAAATTGGGGTACATATAAAGGAAAGCACGAGCAATTAAGGGGTGAATTCAGTTGCTCCCTAGCTATAAGGGTTAAGTTTTTTTTCTTAATTCCTCAGTTAATAATAATCGAATTATTCCATAAATTCACATAAAGGTAGAGCCGGACGGATAGTTTAAAATGCCCTCTGCGGCTTGCATCTATCTTGAGCCGTTTAGTCGTTATTCACATTAAAAAATAAGTCAAATACCTTGTCGCGTTTCTGCTATCCTGCTACCAAAATTTTGTAGACAAAATTGGATCTTTTCGAATTCGGAACTTTGTATCAGGATAATAGATGAGCGAGGAGATATCAAAAATTTTTATTTTTGACACAACTTTTTTAATATTGCTTTTGGAAAAAAACTGAGTATATTTTTGAGATCTACATGTGACCTTCTATCCGTATGCAAATTTAAATTGTTTTTTATTTTTTTAAAAAAATCGAAAGGGTATAGCCTTCCAAATTTTTCGACAAAAATTTTTTTTGTGTCCGATCTTGATGAAAATAGTGGTACATATAAAGGAAAGCACGAGCAATTAAGGGGTGAATTCAGTTGCTCCCTAGCTATAAGGGTTAAGTTTTTTTTCTTAATTCCTCAGTTAATAATAATCGAATTATTCCATAAATTCACATAAAGGTAGAGCCGGACGGATAGTTTAAAATGCCCTCTGCGGCTTGCATCTATCTTGAGCCGTTTAGTCGTTATTCACATTTAAAAATAAGTCAAATACCTTGTCGCGTTTCTGCTATCCTGCTACCAAAATTTTGTAGACAAAATTGGATCTTTTCGAATTCGGAACTTTGTATCAGGATAATAGATGAGCGAGGAGATATCAAAAATTTTTATTTTTGCCACAACTTTTTTAATATTGCTTTTGGAAAAAAACTGAGTATATTTTTGAGATCTACATGTGACCTTCTATCCGTATGCAAATTTAAATTGTTTTTTATTTTTTGAAAAAAATCGAAAGGGTATAGCCTTCCAAATTTTTCGACAAAAATTTTTTTTGTGTCCGATCTTGATGAAAATTGGGGTACATATAAAGGAAAGCACGAGCAATTAAGGGGTGAATTCAGTTGCTCCCTAGCTATAAGGGTTAAGTTTTTTTTCTTAATTCCTCAGTTAATAATAATCGAATTATTCCATAAATTCACATAAAGGTAGAGCCGGACGGATAGTTTAAAATGCCCTCTGCGGCTTGCATCTATCTTGAGCCGTTTAGTCGTTATTCACATTAAAAAATAAGTCAAATACCTTGTCGCGTTTCTGCTATCCTGCTACCAAAATTTTGTAGACAAAATTGGATCTTTTCGAATTCGGAACTTTGTATCAGGATAATAGATGAGCGAGGAGATATCAAAAATTTTTATTTTTGACACAACTTTTTTAATATTGCTTTTGGAAAAAAACTGAGTATATTTTTGAGATCTACATGTGACCTTCTATCCGTATGCAAATTTAAATTGTTTTTTATTTTTTTAAAAAAATCGAAAGGGTATAGCCTTCCAAATTTTTCGACAAAAATTTTTTTTGTGTCCGATCTTGATGAAAATAGTGGTACATATAAAGGAAAGCACGAGCAATTAAGGGGTGAATTCAGTTGCTCCCTAGCTATAAGGGTTAAGTTTTTTTTCTTAATTCCTCAGTTAATAATAATCGAATTATTCCATAAATTCACATAAAGGTAGAGCCGGACGGATAGTTTAAAATGCCCTCTGCGGCTTGCATCTATCTTGAGCCGTTTAGTCGTTATTCACATTTAAAAATAAGTCAAATACCTTGTTTTCTGCTATCCTGCTACCAAAATTTTGTAGACAAAATTAGATCTTTTCGAATTCGGAACTTTGTATCAGGATAATAGATGAGCGAGGATATATCAAATTTTTTTATTTTTGCCACAACTTTTTTAATATTGCTTTTGGAAAAAAACTGAGTATATTTTTGAGATCTACATGTGACCTTCTATCCGTATGCAAATTTAAAGTGTTTTTTATTTTTTGAAAAAATCGAAAGGGTATAGCCTTCCAAATTTTTCGACAAAAAATTTTTTTGTGTCCGATCTTGATGAAAATAGGGGTACATATGAAGGAAAGCACGAGCAATTAAGGGGTGAATTCAGTTGCTCCCTAGCTATAAGGGTTAAGTTTTTTTTCTTAATTCCTCAGTTAATAATAATCGAATTATTCCAAAAATTCACATAAAGGTAGAGCCGGACGGATAGTTTAAAATGCCCTCTACGGATTTCCTCTATCTTGAGCCGCACAAACACACACGCGCACACACACACACACACACACACACACACACACACACACACACACACACACACACACACACACGAGACATCATCTCGAAAATAGTCAAAACGGATACAGGGGACCCCAAAACGTAAAAATCAGTAAAAAGAAGTCATTTAATAATTTGTTTATTTATGAAAAATACATAATTTAAGACATAATAAAAGCATAAATATATATTTACACTGTAAAATATTTAAACAAAAATTACAAAATAAAGAATATACAGGGCGTTCCAAAATTTGTGAAAAATATTTTAACATCGCATTAAAAACAAGGTAGAAAGTTTCCATTATTAAATATTTCAATGATGATTACTCCTAATTTTTTTCAATATAATCAGACCTGGTTGCAGTTATCACATTTAGTTTTTCCATTTTTTGTCCTAAAACAAAAAAATCATTGTATATAGGTAAAGCTGGGCAGTACTCGAGTAAATAGTACTCAAAGTACTCGTGAGTACTATCATTCTGATGGGGATTAGCACTCAAAAATTTTATTTAGAGTACTAAGTCACTAACTAGAACTATTTATAATACTCATACTCATTATTCAATTTTTCACGAGTACTCATACTCAGATACTTAAGAGTACTTTGTAAAGTACTCATGAGTATTTTAATGCAGTACGCTGCCCAGCTCTGTATATAGTCAAGAAAATATAAATAACTTACATTAGATAGAAGAGCGTTCTTAATTAGAAAGTATTCTTCATCCTGTGGGGAAACTTTTGACTTGTACTGTATAAGTGCCAATCTATCTCTTTCTTTAATATAGTGCTGAATAACAAACTTATGACAATTCATCTTCTGAGCCAAATATAAACCACGTTCGGAGTCAGAAATGTATGGTAAGTAAAGTTCTAAGATTTCTTTAGGAGATTCGTGTCTGCTTAATCCATACACAAATATTTCCGCTGGCATGACAGTTTTCAGAGAGTTCTTTTTTGTCAACCAATTCTAAAATTAAAAAAATATGATAATGTACCGGGGGTGTTAGTAGAATTAACTGTTTCCATAAAAAAAGTTCTATAGAAACCCAACAAACATTAAAGTAGATGTATGTGGAAAATGTATATATTTAGTTTATCCTCTAAACATTTATAGAGGTGCTACAATAGGTTGTACAAAATAATCGGAAAAAGCCTATAATAACTAGATAGGAAAGTCATGTGTTGGACACATCAGATTTTTTAGATAGTCTGAAATACCTATTTAATTAACTGGAAAGATTTTAAATTATTATTTATGATAAAATAAAATGTACACTTACCGGCTTCACGAAAAGTTCAGTTAATTGAGGCCACAGCTCCATTGAGGCTAAAACATTCAAAACAGTCCATTCAAAAGCGAAATCATCAATCTTCAGTCTCTTTTTAAAATCCAAGAGGATTTCAATTGAATTTTTATTCTTTTCGAATTCATTCTTACACAGAACAGCCAATTGTTCAATTATAGAATCACAGTTTTCGTTTTTCTCAACTTGCCATTCTAAAAAATAGTATTTTATAAAGAATTTATATTTTAATAGTTCCGTAAGACAAGTCTAATTAAAAATAATCAAATGATTCATCATCAGAAAACACAGATGATAGATGGATATGGCATATATTTAGATTACTATCAACAAACGGGGTATCAACATCTTTCTTAAAAGTAGCTTGTGATTTTTTTATTTACTCCATTTAGCCAAATTTTACAAAAATCAATTGACAGTGGAATACCTCCTTCTGCTGAACATAAAGAAACAAATAAAACAATCTATTAAGACCTCTTAATTTCATCAATTGAAATGGTTACCAGGTTGGCATTATCTAAACTGATCTGTTGAAAGCTTTTGACAGTGTTATCTTAACTGGACTGAATCTTATTTGAGTTGTTGTTTCTAATAACAGGTATGAGATAAAAATGTAATGAGTTCTTTGTTGCAATTGAAAATTCTGTTCTTTATAGTAGTGTATTCATATTTTATTTAATGTAAAAACTTACTCAAAAGTTGTGAATTTTCCAAAATTTCTAACTTATCATCATTGTTATTAACTTTCTGTAAGTGTTCTGCAGTGAAAGTTTCTAATCTTTTTAAAAGACTTTCCTTATTTCTAATATCACGACCAATCAGGTAATACAATTGCTTCTAAAAGCACAAGACAATATTGAATGAAGTGCTTGAAAATATTTTAAGCATTTATCCACTTACCATATTAGAATTCAAACCTGTCCTCCTAAAAAATATTTAAAAGTACAATAAATTATTCAAATTAGTTTTCTACAGGGCCTTAGATTTAAATTTAAAATGAAGTAACACATATTTAATAGTAAAATAACACTGTCAATTGTTTGTAGGAGTTTTAAGGTTAGTTTAAACTATTAAAATTTAACTGAGTATCAACACTTGACATACAATTGAATTGTAAAAAAGAACTTACATATATAAATCTGCTACTTCTGAATAATGATTATTAACAATCAGATGAATGGCATAATGTTTAACAGCTAACTTTCGTTTAGCCAACTGGTGAAAAAATATATTCGGCCTCAGAGTTGATTTAAGAAACAATATTACCTAAAAACAAATTAAAAATGTTTAAGGTACTCATTCAACGGTTGCCACACAGACATGCTGCATCTGAAAGTGATAGAGGCACTACCATTTTAATGAAAGTAATAAGATGGAGTTCTACTCAGACAGGCAACAAGCTTTACATTAATGACTACCACCATGCCACAGACTGTCACAATACTGGTACAGATATTTATTAAGCTTACTTTACTTAAAACGGTAGTGTTTCTGCAGCTTATAGATGCAGCATGTCTGTGCAGCAACCATCGAACGAGTACCTAAAAGGTTCACAATAACTAGGTATATGAATTTGTTACATTTAGAATTATATCTCCATCCATGGATTCTAAGGCTGAATCTAGCAGAACTAATTTATCAGTAAACTTTTTGTATACTTCTAATGAATATTTCTGCCCAGTCAACATTTTCAGAATAACTTCCTCAACTGGGGGCGCAACATATTCATTGGTGGATTTTAAATCATCTAAAACTAAAAATATTTCCTTTTATTTCGTAAAATGACCTTGTGCATGCCATTTTCTTCTCTTATACTATGCAAATACCTTTCTTATAAGACTATACTGTTGTTCAAAACAATTATTTGCCCATCTAACCACAGAATTATTAAGGCTACTTACTTAAGTTTAGAGACGTTTTGGATATAATAGAGTGGATGGAAAGTATACTATTCTCTTCTGGTATAGATGTAAAAACATATTCTGGCTGTGATCCATCCTCGAAGAGAAAGAATAAGTTATGTACTGACTTTTGATTCAACATTAAATACTTACATCTTCATCGTCATCAAAATTAAATGCAGAAGATGAACTGGTATTCCAAAAATCTTCCGAACTTTTCGCCGTCATTTTTATTTCATTTTATTTTTTACCATCATTTAAAAATAGTTATTTATATCGACTATAATTGAAAAACAAGAAACAACCAAACATAAATAACAAATCCACAACTGTCAAAATGCTGTCAACTGTCACTAAATTACAGGCAGTGCTGCCACAAGAAGGAAAATAGAAAACGTATCAGAAAAACGTACTAGATTGAAAAAATTTATAAATGTACTAAAAATTCAACACACGTACTAGATTTAATACCAACGTAAAAAAATTAATTCACTGAGGCGGGAATTTAAAATATCTACATGTCTTTATCTAAATATCTACATATCGCAACTTATTAGTAATTAACTGAGTAGCTATCTAATTAAATATGGTTATTACCAAGAGTATTTATCAAATAGAATTATTATTTATTTATTTATTATTTTAAAAATAACTCATAATAATAGTAATCATTCTACCGGTACTATATTTTTCAGGGGAAATTAAAGACAGCATAAATAAATAAACGCTTTTATTTTATTACTTTGTAGGAAGGAATAATACTGATAAATTTTACATGCCTGCAATAATATTACTATGTTCTATTTTTATTACACTAGTAATATTAACAAATCAATAAATAATACATAAGAAAATGTAAAAATGTGGTTTAATCAATGATTAAACTACGGGTATAAAGTCAATTATGTATACATATAATATATTTCAGGAACTAATCTTATGAAAACATAAACTTTACGTAATGCCGTATTTAATTTAATGTAGGTAATATATATACAAATCGATTTTATTTACAAACATCTATATATAAACATTTTATTCAGATAGTAGGTACTAAAATACTTCAAAATTTGACCATTCAAAAATATCGTAAAATAACATCAAATTCATAATTAACGCTGACATCACGCTTTTGCCATCAATGCAAAGCGCTTTCGGCATTACGCCATCTTCAGTGCTTATATTGTCCATCGTCAAAAGACTTGACTTGACTTTGATGTCCCACAATAAGCACTGAAGATGGCGTAATGTCAAAATGGCTTTGCATTTTTTAAATAAAAGAATTTTTGCACGAAATACAACGTTTCTTTGCAAATTTAAGTTTATTTATTTAGATCTTAGTTTATTTTCCCAGATTACTTATTTAAATTCGTACAATTTGTTTGTTAGTTGTTCACACCTAATTTCTTTAGGTCTTCTTATTTTCTATCTCAACTTCTTTCTATTGCTTTATCTTCCGGTACACTCTTCCCTTCTGCACTTTTTTCTCTGTTTTTGTTGTCTTTTCCCATAGTCAGTTTTAGGAGCATTTACATGTATAACTCCAACACTTCTAACCTCAAAGTACTGGCACCTGTTCCAGATGCATGCCGGCACACGCACTTTGAGTATAGGTACGCGTTTAAAGCAATCATATTTTAAGATGCTTTCAAATCTTAGAACTTCTGGTATACCTATGAAAGTCCATGATAAAAAAAATCAGTGGTATCATACTTAGCCGACGAAATTTCGTCGAGTTCGCGCATGACGTATTGTGGTGTGAAATAAGGTTATCTGATTGGTCATGAATTGATTAAAATTTATCAATTTATTTTGGCGCACTGTTTTCGATACGTCAAATTCGTAAAAGCCACGCCTTCCACCACATTGCGTCACAGTGACGTGTAGTATCAATGATGTAAGTCAGTAAGGATTGCGTGACGGCCACCTGGTCACCTCGAAGGAATGCATTTATTGACAATATTAGAGTACGCTCCAAATCTGTTGGAAAAAGCGTTTTCTTCTGAATTTCTTTTGTCTTCAGGAACATATTGTGGAATGGATGTATTTTAATGGCTTTTTAGTTCGCATCCATTGAGATAGAATGAAGTAGAGACGGCATAAACGCTATTTTGCGATATAACAGATCGACGCACTTCGAGTGATGGAAAAGTGTAATCAAAATAGCGACTCAGAGTCGTACTAGGATTTATTTGAAGTAAAAAATGTTATATTTGATGATTGACGGAATGAAAATGTTTATATCATATTTAAATGAAGCTCCACTAGCTCGAGCTTGACATATGACGTAAAAGTGTAATGCAAAAGTGCGGACACTTTTAGCATCTCCTCTTTATTCTATCTCAATGTTCGCAGCACAGCCCTCTTAGAAGATGATATTTACATATAACGTCTAGTCCATAAGGCAGCTCCTAGATCAGGATCCTGGGTTTTAGAAAGAATACCTGTGGTAATACTGGTTACTATGACTTGTCTATGGTAACATGGCGAAAAAGTGTTAGATGACCATCTCCCTGTTGAGGACAACTAACAAAAAAAAACTAGATCTGTAAAATAACTTCAGGCAAAAATCAATTTATTCCTATAATAGTCTAAAGTCACAACTTCTAATGATATCTTTGGAATTGTTTATTTTTATAAACTGTTTGAAAGGATTTGGATATTTTTGAATGGCCATTATTAAGTGATTCAAGTTTTTTTTATCACATTTTATAACATTTTATATTAATACTTTTGTAAAAAACTACTTCTAAAGTAGCTGCTCTTATCTTTACAGTAACAAATTCTATGTAATTTTTCTTTAAAATAATACTTTGTAATTTACTATACATTAACCGTCTTTCTACATTGTTAACTAATAAAAATACTAAGCGAATTTGACATAATCAGAATGACATTTTCTAATTAGGCATTGCAAACGACTGCCCGTAGGAAAGGTAGGAAATGACAAGCACATGATAGGTTATAATATGGCAACACCATGGACCTGGTGATTTAACAGGATCAATCATATACCGTGAGCACCATATAAGTCTTACCCCCCCTATCTAACTTGTTACTGGAGTCTTGTTAGGAAAATCGCCGAGACACGTCGATTTTTGATTTCTACAGTGTACATTTTTGTATGAATAGTTTACCCTTAATTTCATCTCTTACTGGAGGGGAGCAACCCTTTCGAAAAATTTAAATGGCATGGGGTGGTGAGTGATAGCTCATTTGAAAGAGGGTTTTATTCTCTATTCAACCATGTAAAAAATTTTGAAATTTGCTTTATTAATTCTCGAATAATTGTTGTTTCAGAATAACGGAAATTAACGTAGCGCACTCATCCTTAGAATTAAAATTCGGCCCTGAATGATTTCGGTTTTGGTTCAGACGTGAAGTAAGACTTTTTGCCATTAGAAGGTCACTATTAGTTTAGTTGCTCTCCTATTTTGTGAGGTTTTGTTATTTTTAAACATTAATAAATCAACACGTAATGAAGCAAATTTAAATTTTTTTTGCACGGTTGAATAACCCCCTTTCAAATGAGCTATCACTTACCACCCCATGCCATTTAAATTTTTCGAAAGGGTTGTTCCCCTCCAGTAAAGGATGAAATTAAGGGTAAACTAATCATACAAAAATGACCATTGTAGAAAACAAAAATCGACCTGTCTCGGCGATTTTCCTAACACGAGGTAGTTAGGGGGGGGTAAGACTTATGATGCTCACTGTATAGATTGATAATCCATGTTTTTAAAAATAAACATAATGTACGTAATTATTTTTATTTTACTAATCAAAGACTGTCAATTGGTTTTAAAACACATTTTTGCTAGACAGATTCTAATTAATGAACACTTGCCAGGCAATATGGCCGCTCGCAAACGACGCACTTTGAGCAAATCTATATAAATATACATGTATCATTGATCCTGTCAATGACAATTAGGCATTCTAAACAAATGAATTACCAGTGGGCAGGTTTGGTATATCTAAGGGTGGCGACATATGGTGTATTCTATCTACTTTACGTAAAATCTTGAATAATGGATAACATTTAGATATTTTATGTCAAACACAATAAAAATAATATTTAAAAAACCCACCTATACATTTCTTCATAAATTGGCAGGCTTGGCGACTACTACTTCGAATAAAAATAGCGTCCAAGTTGCAAGATTATGTCGCTACCCCCTTAGATATACAAGAATTTCCCACTGGCACCTATTGTTTGACAGGTCGTTGGAATGCCTAATAGGCCCACAGGATTGCCATATCTAAACTGTCAGTTCCCACTAGCATCATTTTGACAGGTCGTTGGAATCCCTAATTTGTTAATGTTGTTTACGTGACTCGGATTTTTATTGACAGCTCTTAATATTTATCGGCAAATAATTTTATAACATAAATGAAACTTTTTAGAATATAGTAGGTACATTTTCGTAATATTTTTCTTGAATTTACTTCGAACTGACTTAAAAACTCTTCAAATTACATTTTAGAGTACCAACTCGTTTATATTGCAGGACCTCGCTCTGCTCGTCCCGCAAATATTCACTTCGTTACATAAAATAAGCCATTTCGTAACTGGTTTCATAAATAGCTATACGTTACATTATGCGCACTTTGTTTTATGGTTAGATAATAGAATTTCTTGAACGCAGTCATTTATTTGTAGATGATGGTTTAGAAAATGCGAGTTTGACATCTATAATTCAAAGATTTGCACAACTTCTAACAGTTTCTAACAATTCCTCAGAATCATTTTTATTCTATTTGGCCTTCTATCGTCGGCAAGAATACATTAATGAAATAATTCAGGTGTGGTTTGCTTTTGACCTAAAGTTCAGATATGCTGTAATTTTAAATACATAAAGAAGGTAATAAAGTAATGTAGCGGCAATCGAACCTACAAGGAGAAAAATAAAGTTATTTGGGTTTTTTAATGCATTTCCGAACTAAGGAATCAAACTGTCACATTAAGTAATGAATCCATTTCCGAAAATTTACTGTTTTTAATTTACAGGGTGAACCATAACTGATGGGACATATAATATTCACAGATTATTTGGGAGGACTCAATTTTCTTGAGATTTTCATGAGAAATGTCATACGTCAGCGTAAAAACAGTATTTTTAAAGCCTGTGAGTATTAAAATTCTTAAAAGAATTTTGATTCTCTCAAAATAAACGAAGAGTCAGTGAGTTTTCACTGGCTTTAAAAATGTTTTTAAGTTGACGTATGACATTTCTCATGAAATTCTTGAGATAATTCACTTTATCTCGAGATTGAAAATTGCACCTCTGGCGTGTTTTGCCTAGACGATACTGTTAAGTAGTTGAAAAATCGCTGAGTGGG